GCCATATTGACCAGGAAGTACACCTTCACTTTTTTTCAAGGGCTATTTGCACACTACCAGTATTTAGTAACGTATAGTTATCTGTTGAATGTTGGTGTGATTTCGTATACCTGCACCTAATTTCGCTGCTGTAATATTCGTAATAGTTATGTGGCTGATAAAATTGAACAACTTAGCAGACTCCATCTTTAAAAGTGGACAAGATTACCCATAGATAAAGTATACTAATGCTATGCTTTTAATACAAGGAGTTTTCGATACGATCGCCAATAGGGTTGTTAGATGAGTGCAGGAACGTTGGTGTCTACCTCTTGGCTAGCAAAGTAGAAGAATAAAAGAATTTCTAGAGTTATACGAACTCAAATGGGCTATTCTATCGTTGCGATAAAACAGCAAAGGCCACTTGCACTCCACCGTCCTGATATTAAAAACATCCAAACATTCTTTAAGGAAAGCTGACGGGACTTAATATTTTAGTATTTAGCCGATTACCTCGGTAGCATAATCAAATTAAATTGAAATAAATGTTGAAGAAGTGTTGGCGCTACTTACTTTCACCTATCTTGACAATTTTTTAATTATTGATTCTTTACCCTACAATACTTGTGATATAGGCTGCATTGAGTTATTTGGGATGTATATAACGCCCAATTCTTGTCTGTCTGTCCGTTCGTTTTGTTCTCTTGTCTTCAACCTAGAAGTCGCAATTTTCGAGATGTTTTGATGAAATTTGCTGCATCGATACGCTTTGGTGTAAGGAAGAACGTTATTGAAAATAGGTAAGATCGAAATAGTTTTTCGACCACTCCCCACGTAGCATCTTATTTTGAGAGATTGTTATACCTATGACCATATTAAGCAAAGTGGTGTAGGGTATTTATGGTGGACCATGACTAACTATAATATTTTTGCTTGGTGTTAGTTACATTTTATTTTCACATCGATCCCCACAAATTTCACGAAAAATAACATATACATTCTCGAGAAACTAGATCCACCATTTGTCCGCTGGGGAAGAAAGCTTAAAGCATCTCAGAAATAACATCTAAAAATGAGCATCACTCATCATGCATAAATGTCTTCAAAATAACTGAACAGTTTCAGAATCTGAAAGTTTTAAAGCATTTTCATTAATATCATACGAGTTTCGGCGCTCGATGCACGCCGGACCAATGCGTACGTCTTTTGCATGTTGCTTCTGTAGCTAGTGCTTAGTGCTTGTATAATCATCATCGGACGGAAAAAATAATTAATAAAAATTTTTACCTCTATCAAGACCTCTTATGCATGCAGCACTTAATACATTGGTTTTATTAGTTTATACTGTACCTGAAATTTACGACAACACTAGTCTTGTCTTTGGCCTACGAAAACGTGAGATTTTTAGTATATTGCATATTTGTAGGGAAATCAAATCCTACTTGAACTAAACTCTTAGAGACAACACCTTTTTTATAACTTCAAAGACCAAAATATATGCGTGACAAACGTATAAGAAAGAAACACACATAAATAGAGAAAAAAACGAGGTCAAATAATGATTGCTTTAATAACTTGTAAAGAAGAAAAAAAAAAAAAAACAAAGCATTTATAAATGATCTAAGCTCCATTTCCTTCCCCCATACCAAAAGCACTATGATGCAATGATGGCCATAGAATATCAGATGTGAAACTACAAATGCATACATACACATGCTTGTTCACTTTGCATATCACACAAATACCGCCGATCTGTGTGGAGAGATAAATGGACGAGGACGAAGAGGCCTTAGTTTCTAAAAGATTTGTATGGATGAATATGGAAAAAACGCGAAGAAGAGAAAACAAAATACAAAAATATATTAACAGATTTTCACAACAGAAATAAAAAACATGTATGTTGAATACGTATACGACGAAGCTTTATCAGATGTCTGTTTCTACACACATGTCGGAAAATATTTCTTTGTCACTTTGAACGCGTGGTATCTTTATGTGTTGAGACTAGTCACTTGACGATTCAATACAGACCGGTGACTTGAACCATAATATAAAGTACATAATGAATAATATGAACAACTTCAGCAGCCACACCATCTCACAAATCATAAACTTTACACCATTTTTTTTGTATTAGGAAGAAAGATAAATTATACAAAAAAAAAAAAAAAAAAAAAAAAATGAAAAAATGAAAAAAAAGCACAGACCTTCAAGATAAAGAAACAGGTACAGATTGGCATTACTGAAAATATCATCTTAGGTGGTGTTGATGGTGAGAAGGGAGTGCTGCTATACGTAATGTGAGAACTTTTAAAGGTGTTTTATACTCAGTGTAAATTCATTTATCATGTTAGTTAGTTGGCTTGTTGGTACCGAAAGCTAATGATGTAATGGTTTCAAGAAAAACAACAGTAAGAACGACCACTTAAATAGAAGAGAGCTCGGTGCACACACATATACAAATATAGAAGACGAAGATGTTCGACCCTACGATCATAAGATAGATACAGATTCGTGCGTATGCTAGTCTTGGGATACATTGGCTGTGTTTCTGTTGAAAAATAGATAATAACAAAAATATACCAGCTTCTTAAAGCTTTCAGTCGCAATTTTGTTTTTATAAGATTCGTAAGAGAAATAACACAAAATATAAGAATTTCTACAATAGTGGCAACAATCACTTAACTTATAAGTCAACCCCATAATCACAGTTAAAATGCCAACATGAAACTTACATTAGAATCCTCTCTCTTTTTCTGTCCCTCTCTCTATAGGATTTTAAGCTAAGCAGATCTAATGTAAAAGCAAATATAAAAGGGTATGAGACTACAAAAAAGACAACAACAAGAGAAAATATTAAAAGTAGCTGTTTTCCACAATATATATATATACGAAGCGCACCCCCCGACAGCTCCCCCAGTTTTATTCTCTTCTTTTCTATCTCTGTTTTCTTCGTGTTGATATTTACTGCTCGTCTTTAACTCGTTGTCTCTACAAGTGCACATATATAATTGTTTGTTGTTTGTAAATGAGTACAAGAATCACGCAATAGGGCAAGGCAAACGGGCACAAGCGGAATTTTTAACATGATCGTGAACAAGTACACATACACACATGCAATTATTCACCTATGCTTGTATTGTGTATCTAAACCTACACTATAATAATAAAATGACTCCAGCAAATACTAAACGATTCAGTGACTCTGCGATCATTTTGCGCCTGGGTGTTGTTTGTCTATCATTTTTTTACGCAGAACTAAAGGTATTTTTATTATTATTATCGTGGTCGTTGTTGCCTGGCATGGTTTAGTGGCATTAGAAACGTGTAGGTAAAAATTTACAAACTCTTATATTTCACATTGTATGATCTTTGCGCATGTAAAGGAAGGCAATTTATAATTCAATGACAAAAGCTTTGACTTTAGATAAGTGAATAAACGAACAGGCAACCACCAATCAAATAGAATGCACAACAGGGAGTGGGCATAAGTTCAATTATTCTAAGGTGGAGATCTAATAAAAACTAGTAGGAAAAATATAGCAAAAACGATGAACCATGAAAGTTGCAAAGGAAAATGTATGGTAGCTTTTTGATTTTATTGTTTTTTTTTTTTATACGATTCTATTTAAAGATAAGTTTTTCTATCGCTTTCCCCTGCTTACTGCTCATATATGTTGCAATATGAAGACCGCCTACCTATAAAGACAAGCTGTGTCCTTAACACGCAACAACGCCTTTTTCTTTTTAATAAGGGGAAATATTTAAACATACGCGTATACATAACATAATTATTTGGATATTTATTTATTTCGTATGCAAAGCTTTTCATCCACCCTTTTTTGTACGCAAAGGAAATAGGAAACTAAAACAGGTCACAAAGCAACACCACAACACTACTAACATAATACAAACAATAATTAACGGTGTCTCAGCTTTGTGAGAGAATGTGCTGAGATAGAGAGAGAGAGAGAGAGAGAGAGAGAGAGAAATATTGAAGAAAAGAGCGCTCACTTAAATATCTGAGCGAAGAGTACTCAAACTTAATAAATACTTAATAAATACGCGACGCTGAAAATAAAGAAGAATGCAATAGACGACATTTATTACACCCTAAATCGAAATTCCTTTAAAATTACTCTGAATGTTTTCTGCATTAAAACATATCTGCCGCACATTTCCATTAATGTTTACATATTTATAACACATGGCGATTATATTTATTCATTCAATTGCATAGCGTAAAGTATAGAAAACGTGCCACCTTATACGAACGGTATTCTTAAACATAAAAAAAGTGATTTTTGAAAATAAATAAAAAATATTTAAAAAAGAAACAAGTAAATGTAAGTACAAACAAATCAGAAAAATCCTTCTTTTAGATTTTATGTAATAAAGTAATTATATTTTCTCGTAATTTATTGCTTAGAGTAAAAGTTTTGTTAAGACGAATGCAGAGAAAAATAGGGAGAGAGAAAGAGAGATACGGATTCATACAATGCTGCCACAGGCTAAATTTTTTCAATAGAAAATGAAAAAAAGAAAGGGTTAACAATTTTTAAACATTAAGTGTAGCAGCTGCTTAACAAAAGAAAGAAATATTCTGCAGGCATACAAACTTTCTATGAAAATTCTATGAAAACGTATGCACTTCATAATAATCACTGTCATATTTTAGTTTCTTTCATATCCCAATACCGGAGAAATACATCGTAAATGATTTTTTTTTTCCTTTTGTGCATATATTTCCATATCAACATGTGGAAACCACATAAATTTTTCTCTCTACTAAACAATCGATCTGGTAACACTCATTTCGACCAATAAAAAGTAATCTGATCATGAGTAATTAGTTAAATAAGTTGAGAGAGAGAGAAAGAAAGAAAGAAAGAGCATCTATTTGTTCTCATACTCTTTGCTGGCAGTCGTAATCCTACTTGATTTGACGTAAAAGGAGACAACGCAAAAACACATTTACACAACGCTGACATAAATTTTTATGTGTAAGTGAATGTGTTTCTATTTGAAATTATATATTCGTTTAGTTTAGTGAATTGTTGTTATTGTGTGTACCCATGCATGTTCTGTTTTTATGTGTAAATATAGTGGTTATTACTGCTGTTGCTTCTGCTATCGCCTGTATCACTTTGTGGCTGCTTTTACGCCTATTGTTATTGTTATTGTTGTCGTAGTTTTTAAGAGGATTTACACATTTGTTCTAATGTAGATTGAATTGTAGGACGGCCGCAAACAAGTACAACAGAAACCACAGATATGTGTACATATGTACAAATGTACAAACACATATACAATTATAACGACAATAGGCAAAACGAGAGGTTGTTTTTCAGCTAACATACAAACACACATAAACAGCGCTTTTATTCATTTTCATATTAAACGACAACACGACAGTCACGAAGTATTTTGTATTTTAGCCTACGCGATCAATGAGGAGCACGAGGACCGCTCAGTCGTGGTAATGGTGTCGTAAACGCGAGTTCAATCATCACATTGTACGAAAGTTATGTTAAATAAGTGCGGGGAAATTTTTTTTGCAAATGATTATAAGAGTCAAGAATTTATTGATTAATCAAGAAAAACCCTGAAAGTGAAAAGGAAATATTCCCCGAGAAAAAAGCAAAAAAAAAAAAAGAAAAGAAATGAATGCTCTTTGAAAAAGCAAATATGTGATATTTCAGTGTTTCGTTGAACGCATTTTCGAAACCTGTTCTACGAAATTATTAATTCAAAGGAAGAAAAATGTATGCATATAAATTTTTCCTATTAGATGTGAGTAATGAAAAACTGTGCGTGTATTCCCTTTACGGTTACCATCAAAACAAGTATCACCACTACAATCGCAAAAGCGATATGATAATTAAAAGAGCTGTATAGCAATTTAACGCTCCGTCATTAAATGATTTGGTGGGGGACGGTTCTGTCTTTTTTATACCCTGTGAGAATTTTCTTACCAGAGAGAACACAACATGGTGGTGGTGTTGTTATATTGCTATTAAATTATAGAGAGCGGATGAACGTTCGTGTACGTACGTACATACGTGAGAATTTTTTAATGCAATGCAACAATTTCCCTCTCATCAACTGCAAGTACCCTAAACACTTCGAGGACTTTAAAACAGTTTTTTCTTTGTTCGATTTCAGCATTCGTTATCGTTAGTCGTGTTTGAAAGGATCTTTCTACAAACCTGCTTGTAAAATATAACTGAAAACAGTGATCATATCAAAAATATGATATAAAGCTTTAAAAAAATATTGTGGAAATGAAAAGCTCCTCTAAGATAAAAATATAAAAACAAAGGCTTGCATTCTGTTAGTTTTATTCCTGAAAGTGGAGTTAAAAAGTAAATATGACATTTGAAAAATATTGTTTCTGTTGTTAATTTATGAGAAGGAAAATAACATTTCAAAATGAAAGAAAAGCAAAGGCCATTCTAATCAATTTTTATACAATGGTACTAAAGCTTGCAAAAAAAAACAATTGTGGAAAAAATCATACAATGCTTAAATAAAAAATTATAAAAATTTATATTTGATCTCTCATTTGCACAATAAAAAAAGTACTATTGATTTAGAAGAAAGAGGTAGAAATAAAATAAGATAGAAAAATAAGCTTCGAGCAGAACTTGAGCGCACATCACATAAGTTCAAAATGTCTGTGGACTAAATTAAATTCATTAGGGGTCTTTCAATTAACAATTGCTCATGCGTGTGTAGTGTAATTAGAGTGAAGAAAGTTGAGGTGGGAGCTTCAATAATTTGTAAACAACGCGGTTGAAGTCATAAATATGTTTTCTTTTTACGCGATCCTTCCGCGAATATGAAGCATTTTGCTGTAAATAAAATTTTGAAACTAAACGTTTACAAAATATTAGAAGTAAAAGAAAAATCCAAACGACCAACAACCACGACATGTGTCTCAAGGCCATTCCACTCTGATATGCTCTAATCTACTCTGCTAAAATAGCACGAATAATATGTTTTCCAATTAGAATTTTGTTGAGCTATGCCCAAGGCAATAAAAAACTTGGAAAAAACCTAAACGAAATTGGAGAGTGATTCTGTCCGTCATCAGAGGATGGATGGCATTGCTCGTAGTACCATCAACAAATCACCCTAGACAAGTGTTATCCCGCTTACATATATCTCTATATCGAATTCTCCTTTGACTATCCTAGTTTATGGATTGTTTGTTGCCATATCGGCTACCAATGTAGTGTCATTCTAATGCCTAATCAATGAGCTTGACATAAGGCCAAATTTAGTAGAAGACTTAAATCGTATCAAAAACGCAAATAATAAAAATAATAGCAACCACCGTCAACATCACAGCATCTTGATCTGTAAAATGCTTATGTGCGGGAATATTTGTAGAGATATTTTTCAAAAATAAATCCCGCGACCTGTCAATAACCACAAGTAGTAACATTAAAGTCTTTCATGAAGAAAGAACGCAATGTTCTTGCGGAGGTGAGGGAAATTTTCACTTTTTACTTTCGGTCTGCCCGTATAGAGGACATTCTTTCAAATTTTAGGCGTTGTTCTCGCTTTTATAGGTTTTAAGATCATATCTGCGAAGGTCGGATCTGGAAGCTTTTATCTTATCTGTTAAGTATATAAGTATAAGCACCTTTTAGAAGACATTCATTTCAAGGGTTCTCTAAATTGACTTTCGTAATTCACTTATATTACAATTTGTTAAGCTCAACATTTCTTCAAACCGTAGAATTGTCAGCAGGTCGATTTTGATTCACATACGAAGTTTAATTAGCTGAATTATTCTGCGATGGAAAAAATGTTAAGGCTACGAAGAAGGTAGAATTCTTGCTTGTATCAAAAGTGAATTAACTAACCATATTTTTTATGCTTTTGTTTTAAAATTTTTAATTTTTTTTTATTACGTTAATTGTAATCGCAACCTAATAAACATATGTTTATAAATAATTTGTATTACAACAAATAGAAGCGTATTACTAGGTCTAAGATGGATTTGTATATTATTTTGCATAAAACTTGGTGGTTATCTAGTGCTATCAGCGCATGGCAAAGAATGCTTTTTTAACATTTCATTCGCCCTTGTTCCAGATTTCCATAAATATTTGTTGGCGAATAAGCAGCCAACGAATGTAGTGGAATGGAATGATCCAATGAGAGTTACTTGCAAAGTACTTGCTTTCAAATATAACTTTCAAAACATTTGCATTAGGGCGGGGGATTTTGTGTTGGAGGTAAAAAATAAATAAATTTTTAATTGTGATTTAAAAATATTAAAAAAAACTGCTAAGACATTGTATTTGACAACTTTAAAAAAGTTTCATCCTTGAACTAAAAAAAAATTTCCATTTAATCCGTCTTGCGATTTCCAATTTTATCTCTTTGACATTTTTTCAAATGTCAAGTTTTTTTATAAGAGTGCAAGAGAGAAAATGCCAATTCACAAGAAATGAAAACAAAAAAAGAATTTAGTAAATGTTTTCACATTGAACGGACCACAAGCAAGTGCAATAAAAGAGAGAGCAAGAAAGAGAGAGAGAGAGAAGGTATATTCTTTATTTGAGAGAGCGTCAAAATGCAATTAGAAATATACGTTTGCGTGCACACATAAGCAATAGCAATAAGTATATATATACATATATATGCAATAAAGGTTAACTCTCTTTTTTAACTCTAAAGAAAGGCTACTTTAAACAAGCAGACAACGAATTACTTATACCTTTCTTTTCAACATTTTTTACATAGTTGGCTATTTTCGGTGCTATTTTCTTTCCTTTAGGCATTAATTTAATATAAACCCAATTAATTAAAAGTGGTTTCTCGAACAACAAATTCCTTACGGCAGGCAAGAAGCAGACAGGAGACGTATTAGTTTATTTGTATTCATGTGACTGAGTATCAGATATATTTGTACTTGTTTCATAGATCCTCGAAATTTAACTTTTAACTAAACGCGAACATTAATAAATGTCTATTTATCGTCACACTCTCTTCTACTTTACTTTTCATAATTTTTTTTTTTTTTTTTTTTTTTTACTTTACTTTTCATAAATGTCATCTATTTTTTATTTTCACAACTGCTTTGTACTCGTTCGCGTAGCGATTGTCTGGACGCGTAGTCTAGATTAGATTAGAACAAACGGGACTCTTGGAAGAAAGCAAGCAATAAATTTTGCCTGTACTCGCTTGCCTATGTATTATTGCATCTATCTATACACTTACAATTTTCCTATTTGCCTTTGTGGCTATTGAAACAGGCAGAGCATATATAAAAACACAGTATTGTGTAAATAATTTACATTACATGTTACGCCTTTTTGCGTTTCATAATATCAGCCATATTAATTATTTTCACTGCAGGCAGTATGTTCGGTTTGTCAAATAGGTGTAGTGCATGAAAGTCCGCAGATGTCACAGATGTGTTAAATATATTATGTTTTTGATTAAAGTGATTCCTTTTAATAGTCATAGGCCTCTATTTACGTGGCTGTTGAGAAATACTTTATTTTTTATTATATAAGACTATGTCCACGACCGGTAAAAGTCTGATACGAATCTATGTCGAAGTGTTAACGAATCGTAATCATTACAATATTTTACGTTACATTACTATATATGCATATAACTTACCTACGACGGCAATTTGTCCTTTTACACTTATGTCACCCTTTCACAGCGGATCATATCTGCATTTCCGCTCTATACGTATAGCCTTGAAGAAATCTTGGGAAAATCTCTTGAATTTTCAATTACGTTAAAAAACAACCAAGGGAATTACATTTTATGTAGTCACAAATTTCGGTGTAGTCTGGATAAGTTTTCTTTCTAGTTTTTCCTTTAAGTATTGGATACACAAATAGTTGCGTGCGCGTGTGTGCATATAAAAGTAGAAAATTTGTATGTAATTGTATTGAAAAATACTGCGCCCTAATGTAGCTTTACAATCAGCTTTACGGTATAGTCTAGCTTTTCAGCAAACACTTATATTGCACGATCGTGCTGTGGAGGAGGATAGGCGGTTAAGAGCGGGCCGGCAGGCACAGTTGTATTTATTCAGTCAACCAGGCAGCGCTCCCTTGTTTTTGTTTCGTTTTTCTATAATCACTACTATGTATTGTATTCATGTGAATGTGGCTTTTGAGGAAAATGCTCTTTTTTTTATGTATATTTATCTAGCTATTGAGTTAGTTTTAGCCGAATGGCCAGCTACGTTGCTTGGGCTACATCATGGAAAACATACAACAACAACGATATTTCACAACAGATCGACACAATGCAAAACATACTTCATAGGATGATAGTATATAGCTTTTTTCTGACGAGGGTAAATTTCATAAGTGCACATGTATGTATGAATGCCTGTAGGCATACATACGTATACATACGAATATCGTATTAATGCACACAGTTGCGTATGGGCACTTTTCATTGTTTCTGTGAGTATTTGCATTATATCTAACAGTATCTGAGTTCAGTCATCTGTGACGTGATCTGCTTTTTTGTGTCCGTTTTATGTGCACATGCATACATAGAAATGCAAACATGCATGTATGCATATAGCGTAAAAGTATAGTTAATGCCTTACTGTAAATGTCATAGAGATGAATAATAATGATGATAGCGACGATGATCATGATGGCCATATCTGAATTTTTATGTTTCCGTTTTAACATTGTCTTGTATATTTGTTCGCATACTATACTCCAACAGTCGCAATAACAGATTTATTATTCTACTTGAATACGAACTATGTATTTTTAGGAAATATGGAATACCAAGATGTATAGGTATCAACAGAAGCTACGCACACAGGACACCAGATCCTGCTTACAATAATTGAAAGATAGTTTAAGTTCGTGTGAGAAATCCTAAAAAATCCAGGCCTATGCTTTTTAAAAATCTCATACATATGCATATATATATATATATATTAAATGAGAAACACAAAAACAAAATTTAAAGCAAGAGAAAATATTCGGCAGAATGTATACAGAATAAATACAGAATAATTGCAAATAGATATTAACTGTGCGAGTATCATTTGGTCAGTCGAAGTCATTCGTACAATGAACTCTACTCTCCTCTATAATTTTTGTTTGAATCGTAGCCTTCTACTAGGAATATATATGGCGAGTTTCAGGTTTCTGTTCAATCAGACCATTGTAGTCTTGAGCTGTTCACGATGATTACCTATATACATATATATTTTGCGGTATTTGTGATTCATATTTCTTGGCATTACAAACTGCCACGAAGGGCATATCTAATACATCGCCATCTTGCAGTAGTGGATATAGCTAGCTGGCAAGTCATTTCCACGATATGTTTAACTGGAGTTTAAGATTTGGGGATTAAAGGCAAGTAAAAACGTTATACCGGGTCACGATCAACCATTAAATACACTACGTTATCCGTTTAATACCGTTATTCATATAAATTCCCAAATAAGGCGTTATTTGAAGAGTGTCCGATAAAGTGGTCCGCAGCATTCCTGCTTGGGGTAAAAGACGTCGAGGTATCAAATTTTACCAAAATATCTTAAAAGCTGCGACATATAGGTTGAAAACAAAAGTTAAAGAGAGAGAGAGACAGACAGACTGAAATATGAAGAAAGTCATTACGAATCAATCGATATGATAAATGAGCCTGCCTCAAGTCTTTCTGCATGTTGTATATAATACGCGCAGCACAAACTTAATATACCCTTATACCACAAGAGGTGTAAGGTAAACATTGTAATTGAGGATAAACAATTCTAAAGGAAAAATAACTAACTCAATGCAATATGGTAACTCCGTGATCGCATCGTGACAGTGCCTTGATCAGTGCATTTATATGCCAACAGGCAGGACCCAAGGAAGTTGGATAAAAACTCCATAATGCTTTCTGCGTACTTGAAAAGAAAATTGAAAACATAGCGTATCCCTTAGTGATATTCGTAAAATTGTGGTCATAGGAAAAGTCCAGTTAGTGTTAAATAAGAAATCAATATCTAAGATTTGATGGCATTTACGCCGCAAGCTGCAAAGTATTTTGAAATTACGTTGAACTCGTTTTATCTTTTAATTATATACATCAAATATGGCTCTTCTACAGCCCTTGAAATTTTAAGTACGTCGGCAAATCAGACAAATTTCGTTATCCTTAATCTGATAAGAACTCCACTGCAAGTGATGTAACATATCGTATAATTTGCGTTTTCTTTTTTACTTAGTGCAAGTTCTTGGCCTTATCTTACATGATGCGATGAGTTATTGGAAAACTCTCCTTTCTCATTGCATCCATTACTGAAAAGTTCAGTGTATTTTGAAATCAAACTCACCTTATTGTTTAATCGCCTTGTGTTGATAAGTATGTGGGCATTAGCAGCTAACTAAATCCAAATTTTACTTATAAAGTGCGAAATAAAAAAGAAACTGAAGTTATACCGAATCACAAAAATCGATCAGTTTAATAAGATAGCCGTCGCTTCCTCTCTCTTATACGAAACGAAATTACATCGTCTTGTTATAAGTTGAAAGAACTGTTCAAACATAACGTGAGTCGATACGTTGTTAGTTAGTTAGTTAGTTATCTCCAATATTAGTTTGGAGGTCTTTCGCATTATGAGCTTAATTCAAAGGTTTAAAAAAAAACAATTGCAATGTATTCGTTGAGACTATTCAGGTGAGACGGATTGTAAAAGTTTACCTCTCACGTATAAGTTTATTGCATATCCATGCGCTCTTCTTCTCTTTGTGCGAACTCTTAAGTTGATGACGTATAGTCCTGCGGTTCTTTTTTTATTTTTTATACACACATACTTTCATTTGTTAACTTGTGGCCTCTCACCGCCAGATTTTCGCTTGCGCTTTCATCTTGGTTCGATTTGAAACGTTCTTGCTGTTGTCCGATATTTTTATATATAAGAAAAGAGTATAAACGATGCTGATGTTGTGTACGATTGTGCTCGTAATTGTCGCGCTTTCCTTCTCTACGTAGTGAACTTTGCGGTGCTGTGATCCTTTGTCTATTTTTAGATGTTGATTTCTGTTCAACTAATATTTAAATTCGTTTATATATATATGTAAACAAATATGCTTCAGCCTCTAGAGCAAAATTAAGAAGGAAGAGAGCAAAACGGTCACGCATATAAATGAAATTTGTATTTTTTTCGGGGGAATTTTATTGTATATTTTTTTTTCAACAAAAAGGTAATGAAGGCTAATTTTAGTTGTTTTCGTATGCCAAGGAATTTTTCTCGCGCACACATACGAAGCTAAGCATATAGAGAGAAGAGCAATTCTCTTTAATGCAATGAATTTCAATGATATATGAAAAAAATTTCATTTCATCTTAAAGAAGAAAAAAATCTACTTGTTTTACATTTATTTCCTTTTTTTTTTTTTTTTTTTCTTATTTAAATGTTTTTGTTTTTTTTCATTTACCATTCCTTTCTCGATAAATTTTCTAATTGCAGGAGCTTTTGAAAAAAATGTTATGAGGAAAATTTTGTTCGCTCTAATATTTGCCTGCCTCATCATCAATAAATGAATAGATAAACCCAACGCGTATGCAGCGAACGCTTTAAACTCTCATTTTACTGGCGAAAGCGGTTTAAAGATTTTTTCAGAAAGAGAATAAAACAAAAAAAAGCACAGTTCATTTTGCAAATCCTTTTTAAAAAAGGTAATAAGATTACTGAATAGTGGTATAGTGATTACTGAATAAAAATAAAACGGCATCCAAATGAAGATGACACCTCAAAGATTTTGCCTAAGATGGAATAACCATCAAAGTAATATGCTGTCAGTTTTTGATCAGCTTTTACATGAAGACCAATTTACGGATGTGACGCTAGCGGTGGATGGACGCTATCTTACAGCGCATAGGGTAAGTTGTTAACGATCCTTGTGTTATTGCTTTTAAGGAACCATTTTTAATCATTATTTTTCGATTTTTTTCAGATGGTTCTTTCTGCCTGTAGCCCATACTTTAATGCCTTGTTTATAAATCATCCTGAAAAGCATCCAATAGTTATACTAAAGGATGTTCCTTATGCGGATATGAAAGCTCTGCTTGATTTCATGTACCGGGGTGAAGTCTCCGTGGATCAAGAACGCCTTACCGCCTTCCTTAGGGTGGCAGAAAGTCTACGTATTAAAGGCTTAACAGAAGTTAATGATGACAAACCATCCGGAGGAAACACTCATAACAATGAACCCACACCACAACCCCCTCAATTACAGCGCATACAACCATATGTTGTACAACAACAACAGCAACGCCAAAAACTATCACATCAATCCGCCAATTCCGTAAATTCCAGCAATATCGCCGCTAATAGTACGCCACAGCCTCCTTTCTCGCAACAACAGCAATCCCTACTTAGCTCAGCATTGGCTTCGATGCCGAAACGAAAACGTGGCAGGCCACGCAAATTATCGGGCAGTTCGAATGGTGATTACGATGAATTCGAACGGGAGGGAGGTCTAGACTCAGAAATGGGCGATAGTAAAATGTGTAATGATTCATATTCGGGTAACGACGATGGGTCCGATGACAACCAGCGCGATCCCGGTCATAACGACGATTTAAATGTAAGTAAAAGCACATAAATTAAATCCATTAACGCATTATTGGAGAATATGATACAAAGATTCGAGAATCACTCTTTTAATAATAATAATACCTGATGTTAACAAATCGGGGGAAATCCATACATCGAAGTTAATTCAAAGAAAATTAGTTAACTGGTGCAAATCATATTTTTCCCAGAATTGACAGAAGTTAGTGTGTAAAACGCCATATATATTGTCAGTTGTGGGTTATATAAAAAACCAATAATTATTTACTCCCTTTAGTAATTAAGAATTTTGGCAATTTTTTAACGCAAAGGAAATAATGGTCCACGCGGTGTTTTCAATTTTATTAGGACTTGTATAACTGGTTATTCCAAGTTTGTTAAAATTTTTTAAAGATTCTCAATGAGAATTCCGTTTATAAGCACCGCAGCTTTCAGAACTCAGATAAATTACAACTTTTCAGTTTTTCAAGATATTAGATACAGTATATAATAATTTATTCGTATCGTATCAGGCAGAAATGTGATAAATTTTTAAAGAAAAATTTAGAATTATTTCAGGGTCGATTATATTCATCGGAAGTTTTTCTTTTCCCAAACCAGAGACAAGAATTGCAGTCAAATTATTTCAAATTTCATCGTTTTCGGAATTTTGCACGTATAGTTTTTTCTGTCTTCATTTCCCGCCCGCTTTTTTACGTTTTTCAAAGTAAATACGGATGTTAACGTTTCTCCAAAATTTAGTGCGTCTTGATAATGATACCTTTTATAATTTCGAAGAAATGCGATGCATTCCACGTGCATTTTTTATCCTAAGCCTATCTAAATTCTTTAGAATGGATAAATAATAAGCGGCTGTTAGTGAATTTCAGACTATCGAGATTTATGATGCATTCACAATATTTTCCGGATAATATTTTTACCTGCGCAATGTCAAGCGCAGTAGAAAGCCCTTGAGTGGAAACCTATTCAAAATGAAAAGGATCGCAATGTTAATTCCAATAAATTGCAATGAAAATTAATTTCATTCATTAATTCATCGTAGTGAGTAATAATAACCGAAAGCAATAGTGAAATTTGAATGAAATTAAGCTGTTGACTCCAAATTTGGCAGAACCATTCGAAGTTTTTTCAATGCCTTTATAACGCACAGAAGTAAGATTCAAAAACCCCATAAAGTATATAAATTCTCGGCTATTTTCAAATTCGCAATGCATGTAAGCGTGTCCGTCTAGTCGAATGTGTCACATCTGTGGTGAACATTGTCCCATTCACAAAAAAGAACGCACCGCCTACATTTTGGAAAAGAATGTGAAAATGACCCAAACGGAAACAATGAACATCTTTGCTTACCGTGTTTTTTGTTTGTTACTTATAAAGAACAACAAGTACACCGCATAATTTTCCACTTTTTTTTTGAAAATAGAAAATATCATCCGCGCTCACCCGACTACTACATGGAGGTATGAAAATTTAATTAGTTGCCTTGTTTTAGTCTTAGGAATATACGTTTCTTACTTGTTTTTTTTTTTTTTGTTATTTTATTGGTAATGCTCTGTCTGTGTGCCACTTTCGGGATATCTGAGGTCTGCAGTAATTGAAATATTCTTTTTAAGCTAATATGTTTCAAATAGCGTTCGAAACTGATTCTCTTAATCTTCAAATTTAGGAAAGCCGCGATTCTGTACCTCCCGCCAAGAAATCGAAACCAGTCAAGGATACTAGAAACCAACAACCACACCAACAACAACAACAACAACAACAACAACAGCAACAAGATGACAGCACTTCCGGTAAGTCAGTCTATATACAAAATTTAACCAATAATGCAGAGAGATTTATTCACAAAGCAATCACTATCTCATAACTTTGCAATATTATAGATTCTCGTAACATAATTGAAAAGAAGAAAACTCATAATGTATTAATTTTAAATTAAAAGTGTGAAATCAAGTCAAAATTCATCACCACCTGCTAATCATTGCCAAACAATCAAACGGGTTTTTTATATATTTAATCAATCGAACTCATACCACTCATATTATGACCTTCTTTGCACCCCTTTAATTAAACCACATAACATTATTCAAAAAGCAAAAAAAAAGAAAAGAAAAAGGAGGAAACTGAAATTATATTAAAACGTGTATATTATTTAGGTTAGAGAGAAAAGAACAACCGCAAACGTATTGAAACACTGTATCGGAAAAGCTAAAAAGGGATTTTACGTGAGAAAGAGTTTTCCAAAAATACTTTATTCAAGTGAAAATCCAAGTGTATTTTTGTTGCTTGACAGTTCAAGAAAAAAAAAAAATAAATAAACAAATAAAAAAGAAAAAAGAAAACGGAAAATAAGAAAGTGTTTAAGTGATTTTCGAAACTTCGGTCTCGCTAACAGCAGCAAACGTTTTCCGTCGGCAGGTGAGTTTCTGCAAATGAAATATTTGAAATTTCGTATAATGCCGATAAAAAATTTGCCAAGGATAACGAAAAGGAAAACTTCAATTTAAAAAAAAAAAAATATGTATATTCTAAAAAAATTACTTAGAAAAGCAATCATTGAAATCAGAAAAAAAAAAAAGAAAAATCGGGATGAGCTTTTAGGGATTCATGGCCGACGTGAAATTCGTTTATAACCGATAGGAAAAGTAAAATTTCTGTAAAATTTTATTTCGAAAATCTTTGAACCAAAATTTCGTTAACATTTTCTAGTCGCAGTAAAAAAACTTTAGTGATTAAGAATAAAAATTTTTTTGTGAAAATTTTAAATAAATGAACAACAAGAAAATGGCTTGAAATCCCTATAGCTTTTCCGATCAAAATTTTCGATAAGTTTCTCTTTTCCAAACATTTTGATCATGTTTAATTTGAAATTTCTTTTTCGTAAATTCCGTAAGTGAATTTTTTTGAAAGCATTATATGCGTTAAAACACAATCCACCTCATTACAATTTCTATATCACACATCATAATAAGTAATAGTTTGAAATTTATTTTGAGTGTGGATGCGTTCTCAACTGTGATCACTGAACTTGAAAATTTTCTAGATGGCAACGACAGCGACAATGATGATCAGTTGGATACTTCGTATATGGAACCGCAATTAATGCTGGACGAATACGATGAGCCCGTTGAATTTAAATTTGATCCAAATAGCAACAACAATAATAACAGCAACAATAACAGCAATAATAATAACAATAGCAATAACAATAACAACAACATATCGTCACAGGACAATAATATTGGTGGGAGCGGTGGTGGTAGTGCTGGTGGCGGTGGCAGCTTTAATCAACAACATGTCAGACAGCAGGCTTTACTGCTGGCTGCCCAGCACCAAAAACACCAGCAGCAATTAGTCGAGGCGACTGCCGCGGCAGTGAGTGGCATGAAGATGTCCGCTATCGTTGGTACAGGTCCAATTCCAGGGACAGTGACATTGTTAAATTCGATGGTCAGTATTCCTAAATTGGCACCGATCGCTAAGCCGTCCAAACCAAAGGTTAATAAACGTTCAAAATTAAAACAGAATGGCCTAGGTTCTGATGGTAAGGTGAGTGGTGTACAATTTTTATTAAATACAAATGTACATGCAGTGACTTAAAATGCGAATATTCCATTTCCATCCAACTTATTAGGTTAGCTTTCTTATTATAACGTTATACATTTTTTCGATCTTCTACAAAATTTTACTCAGGCTTGTGTGTGGAAGGTGGACTATTTCTATTAAAAGTCACTGGGTGCAATTTTTTTTTTTTATTTTCGTTGCAAATTAATCGATTTCCGCTCAATGTTTTAGCCTTATCCAGCTGGTGGCGATTATATGAACATTTTTCCGGATAATTTTATGAATTCAGCAGCTGCTGCGGTCGCCCAAGCTGCTAAATTGAAAACGGCTTTAAGCGGCAGTACAGGCAGTTTAAATATAGCCTCACCACCGCCCAAAACTAAATTGAATACATCGTGCAATTCCATAGTTGAAGGTGAATCAGAAGGTTCCGTACGAGATTATTGTACCAAAGAGGGCGAGCATACATACCGCTGCAAGGTTTGCTCACGTGTCTATACACACATTAGTAACTTTTGCCGGCATTATGTGACCTCACACAAACGCAATGTCAAAGTGTACCCATGTCGGTTCTGTTTGAAGGAGTTCACCCGCAAAGACAATATGACAGCACACGTTAAGATTATACACAAAATCGATAATCCATCGTTGGCCTTAGCAGCAGCAGCAGCGGGAAATACTACCGGTGTAGGGGGAAATGTGTCCGCGTCTGTCTCTCAAAACGTAAGCGCAGCTTCAACTCCAACCCCGCCTGATTTGACTACTCAGTCCTCTAATCAATCAGGTGGTACAATGGGCGCGGCATTAAACTCCTCCACGCCGTTAGGATCATCAGCATCCTCCGTAAGTTCAACTCCAGGAGGATTAAATACGAATACTACGACAACCGTTACACCTGCAGCGGTGGCGCAATGAATATACCCTGCCTCTGGTAGCAGGTGGTGAAGGGGATTAATACTATATAAATAGTTTCATTCTTTCTTTATTGTTTTATTATAATTTGTATGTAGATGATGTAGTATGTAACAAAAAGGTATGAGTTTTCGATTTGCACGCTCTTGCAAGAAACGAACTATCGATTTCAAAAACCGGAATTTGAAGTTTGAAATACAAACAATTAAAGAGCATATGACCATTACTTTACTCTATCAAATTGTAAAAGCACCAACAGGCTTCCAGAATGATTCCAAAAAAACTGTTCTAACGTATAAAACTAAAATATATATTTATGTATAACAATAAAATATTTGTAAAATTTTTCTACCATATCGCGTTTATTAAAAAAGAGAAAACAACAAACCGAAACCTCAGTCAGAGTTGTATTTGCATGAAAGGATTGCATGTCAATATTAAAAGCGTTGGATATATTTTATACTTTAGCCTTTTAAAAATTTTATTCAGTTTTCAAAGCACCGTTTAGGTTAATTTTTTTCAGCGTTACTTCTTTAATACAAAGATAATCTGCAATTGTTTTTTAAATTTTTTAATTTAAAAGTTTATTTATACGTCGGTACTTTTTCGAATTCAATTGCGATTTTTTAAGATCAAAATGTAAGTTCGAATGCGAATTAACAAAAAATCCTCATTCGGTAGCGCCAAAAAGGCGAGACTGGTACTACTTAGAACTGCTGTTCTATCATTTCATTTTATTTTTTTATTTGTCCGAGTCCTAAAATTACGCACAGCTATTCTTAAAGTAAAACTTTGGAGCTATTGTCGGCATAGCATAGATTGCTTCGTGATTTTGTGCGCATTTTATTTATACCGAAGAACAAACGCTTAAAGCAATGAAGTATCTATCACCTTCTTTATGTGTAGGTTTTCCTTTTGTTTGTGTTTTTTTTTTTTTTTATTTTGTTGAAATCATTTAACTAAGACGACAGATCTAATTTTTTCCGAGAATATTTATTTAATTCATCTTAAACTTGATTGAATCCAATATTCTCGCAACGCCTTAACCAGTTAACTCTATCGACCTCTTCACATGTACTCCGTGTATACTGCGAGACGACTTGACAAAATTACATATACATCTTGTAATATACTTATATATTTAAGACAATTACGCACTCATAATTATAAAATTTTATAAGGAATACCGGCAAGGACTGAGAGACGGATCATGATGTATATATTCATTATGCATAGTTAACTGGTTAAATAAATCTCACAAATATTTGTGCAATTTTTTCTATATTCAAAGTTTTCATATAATATTTTTTTTAATTTTTTTTTTTAACATTTATAGCTCAATGAATTGTTTTTTTAATTAAGCCAATTTTCATTTCTCTTTCACTTTTTATTCATTTCTTTGTACACAATTAGGCCTTTTTTATAATGATTATATTAGTATGCCTTATTAAACAAAAAAATAAATAATAAATAAATAAGCAAAAGAAAACGATAAAAACTGCACCAATCGATAATCAAAATTATGAAAATAATTATTCCAGGTTTCAACTAGTTAATTATTTTCTTCGTTTAAGACTTTGCTATTTTATGGCGTAATGCTCTAATACATTTATTTAATTTATTAGTAGTTAATCGCAAACATTCTTCGTCAATATGCTCTTTCAAGTGACATTATTAAACAAAAAACAAAAAAAAAAATAATCATTTAAATAATATTTGCTGATTACTTTCATTCTTTTTTTTTAAAATAAATTGTTATTTTTTTCTTTTAATTTATTAAATTATTTGAAAATTTTGTAATATATATATATATATATATATATATATATATATATTTATTTTATTTTATTTTTTTTTTTCTAATAACTTTATATGTATGCAGTTGACATCATATATGAATCGGAGGCTTAATTCGTCGCCAAAGAATTACAAATTACTACCATATAAAATAATAACCGCAATATTATTTAAAAACAAATAAATGTTTTCTTAAATTTGCCCATTTTTTCTTATTACAAATTAATATTAATGTATAATTTATGAAAATAAATTATGAAACCAACATTTATAAATGTAATTGAAAAAAAAAAAAAAATGTTAATAGCTTTGTTTTGTTTTATATACATAATTAAAACTAATATAGTTTTACGCCCAAATTTCATATATTATTCGATTAGTTCGATAAAAACGCACTCGTAATTTTAAAAAGATCTCCTCATTGTTAACCCTTGCAATCTTCAAAGTAAAATACGGGGAAAAACAATAACTCCCTCAAAAGAGCGCATACTGAAAATCAAGTGAAACGTCATAACCGGGATATCAATTAACTAAATCCTTTAAGCGACATTGATGTTTTAATTAACTAAATGTTTTCAAATCAACTCATTCGACAGAGTTAATATTAAATTCCTTGAAAGAAACAAAGAAATATTCCATAAAAAAGTCAAGTTTTTACTAAATACCAGAAGCTAAGCTAAATAGAATCAATAGAGAATATCAAGGTATCGAACATTTTATGAGATGATTTTGCAAAATACTTTTTTTTTTGTTGCTTCTTCAGTTTCTTTACGTTTTAGCAAAAGTTAAGGATGAGTCAGATAAAAAGTGACTGCAGAGCAGTAACCAATTCAAAGTAGATCTAGTGGTGCCCTTGGAAACACATAAGACGCATGATTTACAACTGAACTAAAATGTTTTCTGCTTTTTATACCCTATGCCACTTGTGCTATAAGAGTATAATAAGCAACACACAGAAGAACTTGAGATGCCCCACCTCTTCTTATACCGATCTAAGCTTGTCTGTCTGCCTGATTGCCTGCTCTGTTGTCCTGCATTCAACGCAAAGGCTGCAATTTCTGAAATATATCGATGAAATTTGGTATGCCAAACTAACGCTGTTCGGACTGCTTCGACTATTTGCCATATAACGCCCTGTTTTAAAAAATCAATACATGAATAACTACGGGGTGGGGTAGAGCGTTGAACGGTGGCCCGTGCCTCACTATACTGTTCGTACCAGTTTATAAGGACAAATAGTTCACTTTGTAACTGGAAAATCTACAACTGTTGATGTAAATGGCAATAATTTAAAAGCGAGCACTTCTTACCACAAGGGCCTATTGATTGCAACAAGTATTCAGATGTTGGATGAATGTTATCAATTTTTTAAGGAAAATTTCAATAAAAAATGCAAAAGATTTCGACTAAGTGCTGAATGGTCGTGAGTTTTAATCTCTACTGCGGTGGAGTTTTCAATAAAGCTGCTAGCCTTCGATGCTAGCCTTTAAGACTATAGTTTTAGAATTTCCTTCTCTGGGTAAATTAATTATAGAATAATAATTCAATGTCGTTTGATCTGAAAAAATTGGGAATTCTTTTTTGTATATATTTTATATCGAAGAAACTTTCATTTTTATTTGATGATAGGTAGAGATGTTGTATATTGTGTGTAATGTGCTCAGAAGCAATTTTCAGGGATGTAAGCGTTATTTTATACCCGGATATTATGAAAGATAATTTCGAAATATTTATACGTGTTTGCGTCTAATCTTTATAGAAAATGCTTCATGTTAGTGTTTGTTGATTTGTTTTTCTCGTTACATTGTTTAACAATTTTTAGAAAAATTATCTAAAAGTGAAAGTCTTAATATTAAAGAGAATAGGAGGAATTGGATGTATTTGCTTGATCCATCGTATATGTTGATATCCTGGTTATATTATAATAATTCTCTTAACTTTGTAAAACTTTTCTTCCTTTCTCTTTCTGACAAGTGCAACTATTGACAAAAAAAAGAAAAAAAAACCTATATTATACTTAACTGATTATTAATTTAGCGTTTAGCTAGTGCAATTTAGTCTTTAGTTTAAATGTTTAAAAGGTAAAAAAAACAAAACAAAAATATTTAATAATCTTTAAAAAATATATTCACATTGTATTTTACTATATGTACTCTGAATACCACCTTTTTTCATCTATATACGCGTAGTAGTTATCAAGAATAAAAATTATATTTTTATATTCATATAATTACATTACATCAGATTTATTTGGCACTGCATTAACTATTACTCCTTATTTCTAAAATTGTTTTTTTAACAGTTTCAGCGATTGCACCCGTTCACGTCATGCTTTAGTTTAATTGATAGTAAATAAAAACATAAACAAACAAAAAATCATATTTTATTGTTAATTTTAAGTTGCACTTCTGTTTCTTTTTTTTTTATAATTAATATTTTCATTATTATAAAACATATAACGTATAATAAAAAAGAGGTTATTATTAATCATGTTCTAAACGGCATTTAAAAAATACACGTTTTATTTTAATGAAAACAAAAGCACACATATTTTACTTTTAAAATGTATATGTTTTCAAAGGACATCTAACTAAAAATTTAAACTTAGAGGAATTTTTTTTTCAAGGACAACAAAGATAGGCAAAGACAAAGATAGACAAAGATAGACATAACCCCATCCTGCGCACGTTCTTGCTATACAATTAGAAGTGTTTGCGTCCCGACGTCATCCGCGATCATACTCTGGCTACTGGAAATAAACTCTTGCATCTGCTTCCGGATGGAAAATTATGCTAACTGCTTAAAGTGAATACTGAAGTATCCAAAATTTTTATTGTAAACACACAAATCGTCCGATTGGGATTATTTCTCCCATGAAGCCCTACCATACACCACTACTGGTATAGTAAATTTGTGCAGACATAAGCAACAACAGGAATGACTCTACATAAACCCACCGTCGATTGTACTGATCGATTCAGTGTATCCGTCTGTCGTATTTGTGTTCAACCCACAGGTCGCAATTTTCGAGATATTTTGATGAAATTCGCTATACAGACAAGTTTCGATATAAGGACGGATACTATTGGAAAAGATCCAGATCGGAACTTTTTGTCTACCATTCCATATGTGAAACCCTATTTTGTAAAGTCGTTATATCAACAACAATATTAAACGAAGTGGTGTAGTGTATTAAATGATGGAGCGCGTCCCATAACAATGTTTTTACTTACGTGTTTAAAGTTTTCTCTAAACTCTCACTTACAACTGGCACAAATTTCGCCTTCAATTTATCGTGAGTTTGCATGCAAAAATTTTTTAGTTTGAGTTACGCATTTTTCAGAGAAGGAAGAATTCTTTTTCATATCTGATTCATTGATATATAATACTTTCAGTTAGAGTGAGGCCTTTAGCTGATTTTTATGCATAAGCTTTTTCTCATGTTTTTCATTTGGGTTTAATTTTTCTTTCAATTACTCAATTGCAGTTCAATTAATTGCTCCGGAATTATCGCAAAGACTGTTTGGTTCGAATAAAATGATTACCATTAGCAATACAACAAGTTCAACGACGCCGGCAACATCGCCAGCAGCAGCAATTCATACTCCTGCAAAACATGCCATGATAACTTTGGTTTCGCAACAACAGCAGCAGCAGCAGCAGCAGCAACCACAACAAAGCCATCTGACGACAGTCAAGGACTTGAATGAAGCGAAAGGGCATTTAACTGCGACAGCACTGGGATTGAAAGTGAAGACCACACTGCAGACTGCAATGCAAGCCATAACTACAAGCACCTCCTCAGTGGCAGGAAATCCCAACTCATTATTAAAGCAACAATTAAGAGCTGGCTTGCGAATAGATTTTAATGACGCTGCAGCGACAACCAACGCTACTTTGCCGAATGTGCAATCATCCGCTAATGTTCATGAAACTCATGAAGCCTGTTCGGCATTGCAATCGCTAGCAAACGTAGCTGAACGTCAAGCACAAAATCATATACAGCCCCCAACAGCTAACAATTTGCATCATCAGTTTTTATTGCACATGGCTGCTAACCCTATGTTAAAACAAACTGGGGAGTATTTCCAACAGCAGCAACAGCAAACACGGTTGCTGTTAAGAGAAGAGGAGAACAATATTGATTTGTTAATGGATCAAAGTGATAAGTCCGATCCTGAAATGTTAACATTAGCCGATGAGAACGCTGGTTTAGATTATAGCGCTAGCACCGAAAACGTCCAACGATCTGACAAAAATAAAAGTCAAGAAAGTTCTAATAATAACAACACCACTAACAATCAGGATAATGGTGCGATGAAATCGGAAAAGTCCAAAAATAATACGCGCTCGAAAAATTCTTCTGGCAAACCTATACAACGCCGCCGTATAAGACGTAAGGCCCAGTCAACCATAGACGATCAAGCCGAGCAATTAACTGAGATGTCAGTGCGGGGATTAGATCTATTTCGCTATGCGAGTATCAACGAAGGCGTCTATCAATGTACCGAATGTGCTAAAGAAAACATGCAGAAGACGTTTAAGAACAAATACAGTTTTCAAAGACATGCTTTCCTTTATCATGAAGGCAAACATCGTAAAGTCTTTCCGTGTCCCTTGTGTGGCAAAGAGTTCAGTCGACCGGACAAAATGAAAAATCATATGAAAATGACACATGAGTCATTTGTGAGTAAAGAAATACAGAGCTTTAATCCTTTGAATTATCTTATAACGGCTGCAGCGTCTGGAGAAATACAAGCAACATTTCCCCAGCTGTCGCGACCGCCTCCTTCGCAAGCATCGAATAATATAACAGCAACTTCTGGTCAAAAGCAAAGCTCAGACAATAGCGGCACTCAATTGAGTGTATTGATCGGTAATAATAACGATTTAAAGGAAGGCAAGACTTTAAACAGTACGCAGGACAGCAAAAAAGTAGCCAAGGACGTGATGATGATGACAGAAACAGATAATTTCAAATTTCCCACCGATATTGAGATTAAGAATGAAATAATTATATCCCCCTCGCCATCACCACCCCCAGCATCTTTATTACCATCTGTTTCAATGTCATTATCATCACATTCGACACTGCAGCAGTCTACGGCTGTGGCATTCTCATTCGGCGATTCACTCAATCTACTGAAAACATCGTCCACAGCACCATCAGCACAAGCAGCTCAAATGCAAAATGCACAAAGACTAGAAGAAGTGAAATAAAATTTAAAAGTCAGTAGATAAATATCTTAAGTTTTCTTACTTAGTTACTAAAATACAGACCTGTAGTTAGAACCACCAAGACTTGAATTGTTAATATTCTAATTTAAGCGTGTTTAAACAGCAACAATAAGTGAAACTATTGCACAAAAAAAAAGCGAACGAACTAAAATCAACTATAGATTAGGATGAGAGATAGATTTTTAATCGTTTACATTTAATTTTTAGATTAAGTTAAAGTAGTTCATAGCAAAACGATTACAGCTTCACTGAAAAATTGACCTTTTTTAATTCTAATTCCGTATAAGTTCCCCACTTAACTTATCTTTCCCTCGACTCCATCAATTAAATTTGGTCACAAGAAAGCCATTTCTTGGTAGATGAATCTTTGTAAAAACTCCCTATAACCCATAAGAAACATGTACAGCAACACAACCTAATTTTGACCTGCGCTCTGAACTGTACCTATATCGCGCATAACGACACCGTCCAGTTCCCTGATTACGTAATAACTGTATCATATTTTTTCTAACAAAAATTTACTTTTAGTTGCTAAGTGCCTTAATTAAGAGATTAGAAACCATTTATCCCCCCATGAATAAGCGGAGCATATAATTGGCTCATTGATTAACGTAAAATCCATAAAGGGCTTATAATTAGAAATATTTATCGCGAAAGCAACCGATCCGCAGAAGCAACAGCGCAAGTGCCTAAAAGTATAAAGATTTTTCTTAATTTTCTCTTTTAGAATGTAGGATATTCGGCAGCTATACTCAATTTATTGCACTCTACTTTTTGTATTGAGACAAACTTAGATATGACATAGAGCATAAGTGACATATAAATGACACAAATTGCATGAGAGCGTTTCTTGTTTTTTATACGTGAACTTCACAAGAAGAAAAAAGACGATTCCCTTAGAAGATTTAGATCAACATTTAAATCCTTTAGCCCCTTTTTTATTTTACTGTAGCTGAGCAGAGTCAGTTTGTTTGCCATTTTTATTTACATTTGATTCTCAAAATCGCCTGCTTGCCAGACTTTGCCGTGAATTTGAGAGTCAATAATTAAGGAAGACCGATATTGTTCAGACTTTTACCCTAGTCAATGAAATGTCTCTTACGCCTGCTTCTAGGTTCTCAACTCCCAATAACAAAATTAATAGATCGCTAAACTAAGCTCTAAATGGTGCTTTAAAAGGCGCAACTGCTTTTTCGGTTAAAAGCTTCATTTTTAAAGCAAATTTACAGTTTCAATTATAATTTCAAAAAAAATGTTTCTAAAAAGAGTTATTCTAATATTTTTTTTATTATTTTTGTTATATGCAGAAAAGATTGTACAGTTTCTAAACTAAATTTTATAATTTATTTATATATTCTGCGTTTATGTACATATTTTCATTTTTCATTTTTACTTGGATAAAAAATAATAATACTAAGGGATCGATCGATAATAAGCTATCAGAAACGTAGCATTATTTTATAATTGTTATTGAATAATTGTGAATAGAAAAAAGGCCGATATTCCCTCCCACCACCGATAGTTTAAAGTCCACCGCCTTTGTAATTACGTTTATAAAAAAAATGTTGTTGCTGCAGAGATCCGTAATACTGCATATATACTCGACTACTATCAATAGCTGGACCGACTTAAGCTATGCCATCTGTGCTCATTGGTTACAAAATATCATTAACATTGATATAAAATTATGAAAGTCGACTCCTAGGATCCTGTCGAATTTAAAAACGAATGGCACTGCAGTACGTGCGTTTGATAATAAACAAAATATTGAGGGCTATAAAGAAAATGTGGCAAATTGTACATATTTACAATACAGAGTAGCACGTAATATATTATGTAAATTAAAATTTTCCTTTTACGGCCTTTTAAACAAAATGACACAGTCAATGTTAACAAAAAAACTGCCCGATGCAGTAAACGTATGTGTATGACAAAGATTTCTTATTTGTTTTATTGCATACGTTATTTAGTCTATAAAATAATTATCCGTCCTTAGTGTGTTAATTATTTTTAATTCATTCATCTTATTATTTTCTTTTTTGTTTTCATTTTGACAAGAAATTGTTACTTAATTATTTTTTAAACAAAATGCTTTTACTTTTACTTTTTGCATTCGAAATATTTGAAAACTAGAAGTTTTACAAGCACAATATCTCCCTATTTAACTAAGGGAATCCCCATTTAGCAAATCTATCCATTTGCCTCTCTTTTAAGCTCACAAGCACAAAACTTTAATTTCTCTTACTTTCGTCAAGTTAAACTGAAAAGTCAATTAGACGATGATTCCACAGCATTGGAAGTATCAACAATCACGTTGCACTGTTTACTCTTTCAATCGATTATGCTAAGTATATTATTCGTAAATTTTCTAATCTCTGGATACGTTGTGCTAACTGCGTGGTTTCGGGCATATTATGTTATACTACGGCTTTTTATGATGACATAGGCTCTGCTCTATTTTTACGCGATTGCGAAATAACATTGTGCATCAACAAGTACAAATACATTTTTTTACACGATTTTTTTTGGTCTAGCACGAATCCCAAAGAAATGTTGTTTTTAATTCTAATTTTGACAGTGTCTTACAGAAACGTACGTGTGCAGCAATTGTGGAACTTTGTGATCAGAAGTCGGTTAGTGACTCGATCTAATATAAGGAATGTCCGAATTTTGTGATTATTTTTCGTTTGAATCAAACCTGACATATCTGCTGATGATAGCATTTTTAGTCCAGTCCGTAGAGAACGTGCACGCTTGCTTTCAAGTAGCGATAAATAGTTGCAAAATTGATTTTTATCGGAAATTTCGATTTACATTTTTTTATTTTATACTAATGGACTAAATTTTCACTCTAGATTAACTTTAATTTTTGTTGTTGTTTGAATTGTTTTTATTTTATAATATAAATAGGTAATGAAGGTTTCACTATTACTTTTTTGCAAGGTTTTTTTTGGATAATATTTAGAGGCTTTTCATCTTACTCAATTTTTTAAAGTTGTGGAACAAATCGCCGAATGCATCATATGTTGCTTTAATTTTTTTTTACACGATTTTTTGCACGGTTTTTTAAGGAACGTAGAAAAAGTGTTGAATATATTTATGGGTGAGCCGAGTACACAGCAGTGCAACTGACAAACCTTTAGTTTTCTTATGTGTTCATTCAAAAAATACAAAGCCGAATATAATTTCTCTTTTTTTTTCCTTTTTGTTTCTAACAAATACTCAAACTAATTTAACGTTCGATCAAAAATATATCTGGATTTTTTATTGTTTTTAATTGAATTACAAAAACAAATTTCTTATCCGTTCTTGAATATAGCATGAATTTGTTTCTTTCAAGCACTTCTCTTTTCTTATGCAACCCTTACAATTGCAAAGTCCAATGTAAAATAAATAAAGATTATATTTCCCATTAAAGTCGGCACAGTCAGACCACAACATTTGAAGTACCTTTAATAGAAATTCAAACCTTTTTTTTTGTCATAGAAAAATTAAGATGTGTAAGAGAGAAGGCATATTGACATCGACTAGCGCGAGATCGTGTTTTTTTATACGTTGGCTTAAGCAGTTAAGTGAGTCGACCTCTTTGGAAATTGCCTTGCAAAAATTCGGCGGGGACGAGTATACTCGTCCTAAACTGGGTACATTCATAATTCAATGAAATTTTATGAAGAAATTAACAAGGACGGATGGACCGATCATAACCATACAGTTGTCATAACGCACAAATTTGTATTTTTTTCATGTCGAGTATACCCTTTCTATACAGTTAACTTCTTAATGAAAATGAGGAGAATAGTTATTGAAAATTATAGAAGACAAACGAAGCCTTTATTAGCTTTCGTTTCAACGTAAGTCGTGCGAGTTGCGGCAAAAATGCCTCTTATTCTAAGCGAGATACATACCTGATCGTCAAAAAAGATCTATTATTTGTTCGTGCTATTCGTGTTTTTCCTCTGTGTACTTCCTCTTACATTTGCTTCAGATGTTATTCATCTTTAAAATGTAATTTTTACTCTAATTAATTGATTGACATATTCTTTTCATTCAATGTCGTACGAGTTGAAAAATTTTCTTAAAAATGTTTGTGCAATCTTATTTTATTTACACATAAAATAATTTTATTTAGAATTTACAATAATATTAAATTATAAATTATACATAGATATATAAAATATCTTTCTTATATATATTCTGGAAATTCTTCTTACTTTATTTGAAATTAATTCAAAGCAATCATTATCTGCAAGACTATTATACATTTATTTATTTTTCCTTTTTAAATACTTTTATGCTTTGCGACCGACTGACTGTCAGTCTAATAGATGCAAAGGGACTTATATACGCATTATTTATATATACATTGTAATATGAATGAATTTTATGTAAATTTGATTGGAAATCCTCCTTAAATTTGATTAGACGTAATAAAGCACTTTTAAGCAATATTTTTGTATGAACGAATAAAAGAAATTGAAAAAGCAATCAGTTTTAGATATTAGTAACAACATTATATGTTTCTTATGTAAGCACCAACAAAATATTTGATAAGGTCATATGCTCAACATATATTCACAGATAACACAAATAACAAACCCATTTAGCGTTTAAGAAAAGACAACACATTTTGTGTGTAAAGATTATCTTCTTTTTACACAGTGACTGCAATTGCTTCCATTTACTTAAGGACTTAATAAATTTAAATTTTTTAAAATTAGTAAAGAAAAAATAACTTGTTTTTTTAATTTCATTTCTTTTAAAGTCGAAATTGTTTATCCTACGATGATAATGTTCAAACACAACGTAATTAAATCGTCTGCGAATTTATCAACTACACTAACAACTTATCGCGTCAATAGGGGTAGCTTTTAGTTTAAGGTTTCTGCCTATCGATTGAAATGCTGGAAGTTTGCAAACATTCACCGATGGGATTATAGCCATCACTATGATTTGTATACCTTGTATACTAGTAAAAGAAGTGGCAGATCTTCAAGCATTTTACGAACAATCTTAGTTGTCTTGATTTGTTTTTTAGTTTCAGTGCATTGCTTCAACTCACCAAAGGTCGATTTGTAGGCTAATTTATTCCAAGTATCTAGCCACTACAATCAAAATTGACGAAGAAGTGTCTGAGAAAAACTTTCCGGCTAAAAACAAATTCATGGTAAATCAAGTATTTCCAAGGATTTTACGTGGCTTTCTGACAAGATCTGCAATTTGGTCGGAATTAAAATTCTTCATCGTTCTCTTACTGGACACTTCCATCTTGCTAAGCGTCGCTCGTCATCAAGCAATCTCCGCAATATTAGAGAAATAACTTTGCACGTAATTTTTAAATTGAAAAAATATAATAAGACTATGATTAAAGGATTAAAAAAAAGAATTAATTTTTAACAATGACTTAAGACGGTTTCCCCGAAAAAAATATCAAAGGCTTCTCAAGCATAAAGTTGTGCAGGGGAAATTCTAAAAAAAAGTGCATTCGATGCGTAAAGGCGGATCTCTAGGTTATACATTTCAATCTATCGAGCTAGGGTCGTGCTAAGTGGATGAAGAAATGTTGAAAAAATTAGATGAATTAGAAGAGTATCCAGAATATTAAGATAGTGCCACCTTTTCGAGATGCTGTGCAAGCTAAAGGCAAGTGCTAAGTGTCAATTTACTTATGTATAATAACAGAACTGCTACATCTTTTACTGTTTTTGATGTGAACGATATAAAGAAATGTTATCCTGAATATTATATAAATAGGATTACCGTTGAGACGCATTAATACAACAGCATAATGCCAGCATGTGGCGAAACAAAATGTATAAATTAAAACGACGACTCACTCTACAACAATGTAATGAAACGGTAATGGACTTTCCCATTCTTCTTAAGCCTGTGTTCACTTGCAAAGCCGGAAAACTTAGGCACAATCGAAACACACGATAAAAGAATTCCTAAATGTATATGTATAGTTTATTTCAATCGCGCATTTCTCTTTACATGAAATAAAAAAAAGCAAAATAACAACATAGAATGTAAGCCGATAGTTTAGCGAATTGCTATTACAGCAAAGAGGACTGTAAACCTGACTGCTATGTTAAAGAGAAAACTGCATTGTTCCAAAAATTGATGATTGAAAGAAGAAGCGAATTTTTCTACGCATTTCATGTGACGTTTTGTATTTTAAGGACGGCTGTCCAGGAAACAGCAACGTTAAGCAGCCTAGGTAGTTGTTCTGTAATCTAACCGAGGATAAGGGCAATGTTAAGTGAGAACCAACCACAAAAGCATTAATAGTAAAAGTGAAGGTTACAACGATTGGAATAGATTGCTTGAGACTTTTCCCATTTGATTCTTATTGGTATAAGTACAAGTACAAATAACATTCTATTCAATTATATGCAATTTTGATGGACGATGGATAGCAATATCTTACATAAGTAAGTATATACCTGTTAGCCCCTATTAACAATAGTGCAGATATAGCTGAAGTTGTGAAGTGCTCTGCTTTAGTTTGTATTTTCTTCTTGATATATAAAAACAAAAAAAAGTGTTCAAATTCATAATCGTTTTCTCCATGCAAAAACTGTTAACAAATACAGACTAACTCTTTGAATATTCGCTTCATTCTATATCGTTAGAAACACAAACAAATAAAAGAATATTGGAATTCATGCAATGTACATAGGGAATGGAAATCTACAAATGAAAGCCTTGCATTAAAATTGAATAGCGCAGAATGGCTCTTAAAATAGGTTATAACGTTGATTTATAAGAATGTTGTTAGATATATTCAGCGACAATTAAATATGAATTTTTGCTGTCGTGTGACGTCAGAATTTAAAAGAATTCCTGCTAATACAGAAAGAGTATGTTTTTATTATAAGAGAAGAGCAGATTTTGTTACTTCGTTCTCTTTGCACTTAACATAGATTATTCATACAGAGAGTCGGTAAAGAGGCAATACAAATAAATAACAGTGTTACCACAATTTTTCAACATCTAACGGAACTTACATACTCTTTAGTCTTTGAAAGAATTAACCATAATTTAACTTAACATAGATTAATTACATTTCCGTTCAAATTTTATTTATCTGATAACATTGTTTTCTATTCTTTGCTGTTCCTAGAGTTTTTTTGATCTTTTTCTTCTTTCCCTTAGATAATTTTAAGTCATAGGTCTGTTATATTTTTGATTTTTATTCATTTTTATTATTTGTCTTGGTCGTAACTAATGTTGAAATGAGAATTTTCCTTTTTCCCAAATATCATTTCTAATTGAATTAGAAATGAGAGCATTGCCCGTTTTTTTACTGATTAAACTTTTACAAACACTTGCCTCAAAAAATATGCGTAGAATGACATTAAAGACGTGACAGCGTCTAACAAAGTCGTTAAATATAAACTTAAAAAGCATCAAACAAAGGAAGAAGGACTCGAGCCGCAAGGTCTAGTGCTTCCCAGCTGAATGCTTCCAACGTGTAGCGAGTAAGTTTCATCGCGTAGATTTGTGGAGGAATGTCATGTTGAAAAGTGGCCTTGCAATATAAATTTGAAGGGTTACTTGAAATTTATAGAGTCCATTATGCACTTATGCACCCCATGCCAAGTTTAAAGGGCAATTTAGAAGTTCTTATTGCAACGCCCAGATATCGGTTTAAATATTTATTTATAAAAGCATTATTCTAATTCAATTGGTTGATACTTTTTCCATTTAACTAGAACTGCGGTACGAGGTGCAAGTTTAACGTAAAAATGAAGCTACGTAAGTAGAAATTTTTAATTTGCTTGGATAAATAACATTATTGATTGATTTAATCTCTTTCAAGGAATACATCTCTAGCAAGATATTTAATTTTAAGACATTACGTAAAATAAAGCGCCTTTTTCGATGATTTGTTTACTTGTTGGTAAACCTCTCGTAAGTGGTTACACTTATGTCTCTTCCTCCTGTTATTTTCTTCTTTTTTGTTCAAAAGCAATATAAGAACGTGTTGAAGTAAAAAAAAATTTTTTCATTGTGTACGTATACTTCGGATAGACACTGTGAAAATTGATTTAATTCATTGTTTAGAATTTGGTTTATCCCGATATTTTCAAGTCGAAATATTGTATTTTGAAAAATAAGTCACGGGAACAGTTATTGATTAAATTTGAATCTTAAGATGTCAATTGTTTTGTATTTAACTGTCATACAACAAAACCGTGTCCATAAATAAATGTAAAAGTTTAAGAAATAATTTTACTGTGTATGTTAATTATGTGGTAATAGTTGTGCGAATGCTTCTTATCAAATAAATTAACATCGTAAACTCGAAATGCTTTCAACGGATGCTTAAAACGCAACAAATAAGAGAAGATATTGATGACATCCGTGAGTTGGAATGCGAATTCTGTCTATTAAAGAGATTAAGTTCTTAAAACCAATCATAAATTTTTGAATTTTACTGATTTTTCGCGACAGTCTTTATGTCATGTGAGAAGAAGAAATTAAGATTCCTTTCAATCCTTTATAAGCGCATTTAATTGAATTATATCTTAGTGTTAGTTCATTTTTGCTTTGAATCCTTCAATTTGTTGAACTATAACTTTTTCCAAAGTTAACAGGACAGCATCGATGCCAATTTTCATATTTTATAAGTTTAAAGCAAGTGCTTAGATACTTTTGGACGAGAACCGATCGTTTTTTAATCAGAATGAAGTACAAAAAAAATAAAAGAAAATAAACATTGAAAAATAAAACTTTTGTTCCTACGCGTCCAATTTACTTGTGCATTTCGTTTAAGTCAGGAGAAAATATTAGCGCATGGCTTAAACATGAGAGATTTGGACAAGTTATTACACGATTACGGCAAATCTATTAACAATGCACGAAGAAAGGTTCCTATGAAAGTACATTATAAACTTGAACTTGAAAAACCTTACTTTATGTATACCAGGAAGAAAAAGTTACGGAAATCTTAGAGCAGGCAAAAGCATTACAGATCGCGAAATATCTTTCGTGCAACCATTCAACAATGTAATCTTAGTGCAAGCTGAAGCCTAATGTAATGGCGTCTTTAGTTGTTTATGATATAATGGAATAAATATATTCACTTTCCTTGGTACTGGCTTAAGAAAGATTGCAGCAGAACCTGTCTGAGGTAATTACAAAGCAGTATTCATTCAGTATTCATTTCTTTCAACGTAACAATAACCAAAACAAAGAAATGAATTCTTAATGAAGCCTTGAGCAAGGGCAAGGGCATGAACGGGGCATTGTACATATCTAGTTAATAACTTTTACGTGTGTATACACGTAGTTGTTAATATTTCCTTTGATTTTCATAAGCCTACCTACACTATAACGTGGTGTATAAAATTTCTTTTGGCAACAATTTTCGTATTTCTCTTGATTCTCTTCGCTTCATAAGAAATACCAAGTGTTTGTAATTCGGAGAAATACGCGTCGCAGGCTGTAAAATGTGTGCATTTTTGATCGATCTACATACACACGATGACTTGATCACAAATTCTTATTAATAAGCAATCATCTTAAATCTTAATTCCCTTTACGAACCGTGGATTTCTGGATAAGAGTGGGATTGAAAATTTGCAGGAAAGATGTACATCAGCTAATAAATGAAGAAATGAAAACTTGAATTTGACTAAAAAGTTTGTTTTTGATATAACGATCACATCACGAATAGTTTGCTGGGTAGTACGTTTCACGTTTCACTTTAACGTGGTAGGAGTCAAAACATTTCGATTCAAACCGATAATAATTTCTCTCTTATTATAGTTTGTATATGTACGCCAATGTACATACATATACTTGCATAAAAGTTTGATGAAAGAAAGGTAAAAACAGAAAAATGTTTCTTTCTTTTGTTTAAACCTGCATAGCTGGAACAGTTTTCAATTCATTTACAATGTGTGAGGCGTGAAAGTTGTACGCATAAACATTCAAAAGAACAGCTTGATAAAACATATTAATCAATCATTAGCGCAAGAGCCGTTTCTTGTAGAACATAAAGCTAAAGTGTTTTCGAGTGCTCGCAAAACCAAAAGAAAGAAATGAAAAAAAGCTTTTTATGTTGGTGTACTTTGACCTAATTTTCAAATAAAGTGAAATTATTAACGATAACGGCTCAGATCGATTATACGGTCACTTACATAAGTACACTTTCGCTTCTCTTTTCATATAAAATTATAAATATCAGCGGAAGCTCGATCGTTAATCAACGGTTAATTTGTTCAAAAATTGTGATTCATTCACTCTCAATTAGAAAAATCAAAAATATCATGAAATCTCTTCTAATCCTTATAAGCATAGTCTCGTGTTTTAATTGCAACGTGTGTGCTCAACAGCGTAAGTATCGGAAAAGAATCCTGAATTTTGATACTCACGTAAATCGCTGCTTACGAACACTTCCATCCCTTCCGTTGATGGCTTTGTATTTCAATTAAAATTTTTTTATTTATTTACCGGTTTGAAAAGTCTGTGTGTATGCATAAGTGCGTGTATGTGTTTATATTAATGAAATTTTTTCAAGTTTATTCAACTTTTTAAAAATTTTTAAAATAACATTTTCTTCAGAAAAATGTGGCGAAAAAAACGCTGACCTTAAGCTCTTAATACAACTTTGAATAAAGCGGTAACAGCGTCAACTATGTAATAACGGAGTCAGCCAATCATAATTGTCTTTAGAAAATATTTGAGATCATCTTCGAAATTTGTTGCATACTTTCCTTATGGAAGCAAACGAATTCTTCACGCCCATAATTCAAAAAAATTTAAAATGAATCTAAGAAATCAACGAACTTAAAGCCAGATGGTGGAATGAATCGAAAAGTTCTTCAAGCTTCGGTCCTGGGCGTCGTTGTTACCTCCACATAATTAAGAATAACGTTAAATGTGCATGAAATTTCTTGAATATATTATTAGTTTCTGTGTGCGTGCATGTTTGTGAGTGGTTGTGCTCCATTGAGGCGTTTTGCTTAAAAGCACTTCAACATCCGCATGTACTTGAGCATTGTTTTAATACATTTTTCCATTTTGCAGCATATTACTTGGAACAATGCCCGCGTGATGAGCTCTATGTTAATGAATGTTTGCGTGATAGCGGTAACAAACTGGTGCACTATTTAAGGCAAGGTATTCCCGATTTGGATATTTATGAGGTAAATAGATACAAAGAAAGAAAAAATGCGACGAATGCACTGGCATCAGACTTCACTAATGCAAGCACAACTTAATTGATTACATTCGGGATGTTTCATAGATTGAACCAGTGGACATTGATGAAATTGGGATTGTGCTGGGTAGTGGACCCGATGGTTATCGGGCTGTATTTCGAAATATCCAAGCGTACGGTGTCAGCAATATAACAGTCACAAATGTCCGGTAAGCTTCAACATATTTTCATATGTAATGCTCAAGAAAGGAGAGAAGAATAACTCCTTTAAATTTAAATTTATTACTGTTATTATCAATTTAGCTAGAGAAATAAATTCAAAGACTAATGTCTTAAAGCATCTAAGGCTATTGGTTTCCCACTCCCATCTAGTTTTTAGTCTTAAAGACAAATATTTTGGTTAAGAAACTTTAGAGCACATTTACTTAAAAGCTTTTCAAGAGGAAAGTTTCACTTAATTTGCTTTTTTATGCGACTTCACTTTGGAAATGTATCTTATATATATATACATATATATATATATATAAAATATTTTTGACAAAGTAGTGCACCAAATTGCTTGCAATTAAATAGCAGATGTAAAGACTTTCTTCAAAAATTATTCGAAAGTTTTTTAATTTTTGGTAGGAAGTACTTAACCGATCATTTAATCTCCGAGTATTAAGAAAACTTACTCGGAAGCAGATATTAAGCTTATTTGGGAGAAAAATCAAACATTGTTTTTGAAGCAAGCAACAATGAAATGAATATAATGAAATTAGTTTTTGGGCTAAAAGCAAAATAATTGATCACTAGCGACACAGGCTACCATAATTGGCTCTACACATACGTGTAGATGTATTTAAGAATTAAAGCTTCTGAATACGTCAAAGCAATGTTACATCAGGCATTGCACTGCATAAAATCAGAAATCGAACCCGCATCGCCAAATCGAGTCTTCCATCGAAATTTGCTGTCGGCTAGGTATTTACGAAAGAATTTCAAAACCACCCACACATCTATACAATCAAAACTGGAAACACTTCTGCTTTCCATGTTCTTTGCTCGTTACTCATAACCTGCAAAAGACGCACGATATAGATTTGCCCTTCCACTCTAAAAAGCAGAAGAAGTCGGTTACACTCACCTAACATTACAGTGTGGAAAGTTAGTCATTTCGTTGTTTTTACTCTTTCCTAAGTTGAAAATGATGGTCGCAGTCGAACGTAATTTTCTCACTTGTTTTCTTTTCGCCACGGCTTTCTTCAAGACAGTGCGACACTTTAGAGTTCATCTGCTTCCTTCTTAATGCTCTTCTCAGTGACTTGCATACATAGAGACCACATGGTGCGATTTTAGTAAGCCTCAGATCTCTGGTGAAATGGTTAAGTTCATAGTTCCTAGTTTCATATTAGATCCTTTAGTCGGTATGTAGTCCGAATAGAGTTAATGAGTTTTACTCAGATTATGATATAGCGTAAAAACTTCATAGAAAATTGTGATTCTCCTATTGTATTCAACGTTAGCTTGAAACTACTCACGTACAACGTACATTGGGCTCACGCCAATCCTGTGTGAAATTTTTTCAAAACAATAATTAAATTTTTCTCACGTGTGTAGAAAATGTAGGAAAGTTTTTTCAAGCGTGCAAGCATCTATCAAAATTCCAAAATGGCAATCAAACATTTGCTGTTGGCAAACGTTAGCAAGAAGATACTTTCAGTATTTCATTGTAAGGTCGATTTTTTACAGTGGCTCTTATTGAATATCCGGGCGATTGAAAAATGAAAGACTTGCTTGCTATGAATTCCTGTTCATCGTTGTGTTGTGAGTTTCACTGCTCTATCTTTAAAATAATAAATTAGAAGAAATTGGAAATATTGAGTTCGTTGTAGAATAACTTACTCGAGAAGATAAAAAAAAGGAAACTGTTTTCTCGGTGCAGAGTTTACTTAAAGCCTTTTAGTTGCTAGTTTCGAAGATTTATAAATTATTTAAATCCCTTCAGTGTAGAATATCGAACTTTGATTGAAAACCATTTCCAGTTAAGATACCTGATGTTTGTTTATATTGTGATTGTGTAGATTGTCATAATGATATCTCATTTAAGTTAGTGAAGCATTAGGTGCAATTGAAACACATAGAGAGGCATACAAAAAGTTAGTGAGACCTTTATGAAGAAATTTTAATTTAAACTAAATGTTTCAACAATTTCAGATCCGATTTAGAAACACTACAATTTCAACTGACTTGCGAGATACCCCGTATCAAAGTTAAAGCACAGTATCGATCGAGTGGTGTATTGATTTTGGTTAAAGCCTCTGGTGCTGGAGACTATTGGGGAGAATATGGTAAAGTATACCTTATATTAGTTATAGTGAAAATCATCTGAATCACCTCGAGGCTTATAGGCTCTTACAAATCTAGTTACAATGTTGCCATGAACACGTGCACGGTAGATAAAAAACTGGGAAAACTGACAAAATCATTTACAAATCATGAAAAATGCTAATCCTTATACCATCGGTGAGGGGTATTTAAGATGAATTCTCAAGCAAATGGAATTTTACAAATTATTTACGGGCAATTGGCCCAAAATGCTTGCAGAGCACATATATTTCGATCAATACTAAGATTAATTTGTATTACTTTCTATTCTCTTTCCGCAGAGGGTGTCAAAGCCAAAATATACTTTAAAGCTTTACCAAGTCTCGGTACGGACGGTCGCACTTACTTGAATACTGAACAAGTAAAAATGGACTTCAATGTTAAGGACATAAAAATGGGTGTCGACAACATTGCGAATGGCAATTCAGTGATACGTAAGTATTGATCCGGAATGATGGTTAATGGTTAATGGTTTCACTTATTTCTCGTCTCGTGAAAACAGAAGCTGCATTAAATTTGTTCATCAACTCCAATGCTCAGGAACTTTTGAAGGAAATGAAGCCGTCGCTTCGTAGCAAACTGACTATGGTTATACGCAATTTTATGGATCGTTTATTTACGAAAATTCCTTTAGACGAATGGATTAACTTAAATTGATAGTAATTTAAAAATTGATATTTTAAGCGGAAGCGTCTTTCGAATAATTAACTCTTAAGAATAGTATTTATTGAAATTATTTATTAATAATAACTTACCAAACAACAACAGTAAGACGAAACAAGGAATAAATTATATTCAGCTTAAGTTGAATATTTTCATATTTACTGTTTACTTGTTTTTGTTATATTTGAATATTAAAAGGAAAAATGTACAACAAGTAACCTGCTAAACATTCATGAGGAAGGGATTATCCAGCAAATGTTCTATGTTATGTAAGAGTGGACACTCGTAATATCACAATTATTTGGTATGCAACGCAGGTTGTCAGCAAACAAGGCAAGGTATTTCCGATTTGGGACATTTACTATCATAGCCAAAACATTCAGCCAATAAGTAGCATTCATAACCTAACATTTGAGTAGAGAAGCTATAACAACGTAAAGAGAGAATTCCTTCACTCGGATATTCTAAGACATAAATTAATAATTTGACATCTAAACAAACTTTTTAGTAAAGTCGTAAGCCGCAAAAGCGCATTTAGTACCCTTTCTCTACTACACCCAGCACAACTGGTGCTTACGACATGCGAGATGCTCTTGAAAGACGCCAGAGAGAGAATGTTATAAATCATTGGTCAGTCAAGTCAATTTAACGCAATCCATTTGCTTGTCTGTAAGCGTTAAGATAGCAAGCTTTCAAATCTGCATTTTTAGCCAATAGCTGCAGATCACATTTAAACCCATAACTTCTTTATCAACATGAAGCTTGTAGATCCAAAGCATGTAGTAATGAGGAGTTTGGGTAGGCTTCGATATCGACAAGAGTTGCGAGAAAAGTGACTCATTCTGAAAGCTTAGGAGCTCTTTCCCATAGAGATTGGCGCCAAGCCTTAGGTAACGCCGATTATGGCCGATTATCTGGTGATTTCTTCACAAATGCAGAAAAGGCGGAATTATTTTGTATTTTACGCTTAACGGTAAATCAAACACTAATCTTTAAAGTACATTAATTCTAATAAAACTCATGTGGTAATGTTTCTGAATTCCTTTTTCTTCTCCTTTTTTACGATATTTTGTTTTTCTTTTTTATTAAAAATTACTCATTTTCAAATCAATCAACTATTTCACATACACGTTAAGATGGCGATTTCATATTTCTTAAAAAAATATTATTACATAAATATATATATATATATATATATATGTTACTGTTGTTGTTGTTGTTGTTTTTGTGGTTGTTTGTGTACATGCATTTGTATGTATACATAATCATGAAAATAGGCATAAGGTATTTGAGAAAGGTAAACAAAATAGAATAAATTGAAATCATAACCGTGAAGAGATATGATTAAATACTAAAACAATCTAATGTTAAGAAATCTTTATACAAATCCTGTGCTAGCAAATGCAAATTTATACGAGTTTCTAAATTTAACATTATCATATATGTTATCAGACGGCGATGAAGTGCTTATAACATTTGCATGGATTTCTAAGGGCTCATATACATAGCGGCAAACCGTTTCGAAAGCTATTCAAGTCGATCAAGGAGATCAAGTAGAAGGACAGTACGCTAATACCCGGTTAGGAAAGCGTGGAGCAAAAAGCCAAGTCTCTCTGGAAATACATTGTCTCTATTTTGAAAGTGCATTTATAGTGTGCGTCAACCAGCAATACAATTATAAATTCATCACTGAGGCTTTATATCCAGATTTAAAACATTACAAAACCCTCGCGGAATTCTTTACAGGGCCTTTACGTCACGGCATGAGGAGAATTGATCCGCATGCCCCATAAAATAAATAAAAATAATACATCTATCGTTTCAAATATTGGGAAAGCAGTTTAACTTACGACATTGTATTTATTTACATATTTCCTTGCTTTGGCCCAAGTTTTTTTGATATAATCAGCTATAGGTTAACAAAAAAGTGAAAGTGGAAAATATTTAGCAAAATCATCTCTAGACGAACTCAGAGAAGCTCTGACACTTGCCTTCAAACAATCATTGAAGTGGTTTTTAAGCACAGTATGAAATAATCTGAAGGACGCAAGACCAGAAAAACATAGCTTCTGTCTAGTTGAAGGATGAAGTTTGTTAAGTTAATCGTATCGCGATATGTGATCCTTATCGAAGAGGGTGATTTGGCTCGGATATAATACTATTCTCTGAGAAGCCTCCAATTATCTTTTTCAATTCACTCCTCCTGGCGGGTAATCTTTGGAAAAGTTTTATTTAACTTCGATTTAATCGACAATGGTAAGTAGGGACTGGTTGACAGGGGCAAGGAAGATCTTGTGTGCACATTGCTCTTTTTTGTATTGCTTCATTACAAAAAAAAAAAAAAAAAAAAAAAACAGGTCTTTAAGGCAATCAAAGCTCTCAAGTTTGCTCAAATCGGCACTGCCTCATAAATCATAGATGTTTAATAGGTAAACTTTTCTTTTTTTTTTGGAAAAGTCATAGCAGAGAATAAATGCATTTAGAAATTTGCGATTTTTTTTTTTTTGTTTTTCTTTTTTATTAGAAAGCACCGAAAACCGGATAGTGATCTAAAGTAGTCTAGAGATTCGGTCTAAACCGAATCCAAGTTCTTATCGGCTTATAAAAATTACTTAATAATCGTGCAATTACATAACGTTTTATTATATTTTTACATCTAAAAAATAATTTAAAGCAAACATGTATTAAAATTGCAATAAAGTCTGCGATTGAAATATAAAGGAAAAATGTGGTCATTTTTTACAGAACCAGAATAAAATTGTAATTAAAAAAAAAAAAAATATTTATAATAATAGAGAATAACTAAAATAAATAAAAAATTTGTGGAGGATATTTGCTTTTGATTCAATTTATACGGCTATCTTGCAAAATGCGTAAAGTCATCTTACACCTTTTCGCAAGATTTATTGCAGGCAGTCCATATTGTGCGTTAACATGTTGAAGTATTGGCATGTCAACTATGTCATCACTATTAAGATTGTATTAATATCAAAAATGAATACAATTAATAGGTACACAAAATGCAAAAATAAATACATGTGTTTTAAGATTTAGTTTTTTCTTTTCAATCTTTTTTTTCTTGTTTTTTTTTTTTTTTTTTTTTTTTTTTTTTTTTTTTTGTTCATTATAAAAATGCTTTACAATGTTGTTGTCTTTAAATTAATCCGAAAATTTTTAATCAATTAAATTTTTGATATTCGTTGATACAAAAATTCGTTTTCATTGATTTATTTATTTATTGATGTTTTTTCCTTTTTTTTTTTTTTGTTTTTTACTTTTGCTAATTTCTATTTCTAATAATCTGTGTGAATGGTTTCATTATAAAATATTTTAAACAATTGTCGTCGTGTGGCTAATGAAAAAATTTCATATTGCTTTTCCTTCCCGGCGTCTTAAATGAAAATATTTTAGTTTACTTAGCGCCCACTGCCAGACTGAAATAACTGAGTTATGATGCTCTCATCTGATCCGAAAAAAGGCTGGATTTTAATTTATTCTAAATCTAGTTTAGATTATGAAATATTAGACAAGCTCACATTTAAAGCCTTCAACTTTAAAGCAATCTTTCATGAGGGTGGTCATTCGTCCCCAGAATTAAGTATATATACCAATATAGAAAAATAAATGAACCTCCAACTCGTATCTTCTCACATAAGTGCGTAAGTCCAATTAAGGACAGCAATTACTTCTAGTGCTAGCGGGAATTTGTGTTGTAAACGGAACTTGTATGCCCCTTACTTGCGGTTTCATAATGCGCAGGTAGATATATATATTCACAGCAAAAATACACCTAATTCTCTTTTTACACGAATTATTTTTTTTTAACACGATCTTAACAAGTTGTATGCATGCGTTATATTATTCACAACTCAGTTAGATTACGTCGATTATATGTGCATATGAGTGTAGAATTACGCATAGGGTAAAGACGTAATGTGTGTTTTAAGCGATGTAGTTTGGTTTTTCAAAGCACAATTTATTTTTTCTAATATAATTAACGAATTAAAATGTGCAAGCACGAAATAAATTCTTAAATAAACGCTAACAAGACTTTTCTAATATTATGTACTGCAATCTACTATTTTCCTATTTAACCAATATCTTCTTTTACAGGAATTTTTGGGAACTCGTCTGTCGTGTAAGAAGAAAATTAGATGTACATTATTTAACCAAATTTTTTCGAACGCAGAAGTAGCGACCGTAGCTCCTAAAATAAACTTGTCCACAATCGATGTACACGTGCCAGTCTTATAGTTGATTCGAAGTTCTTACATCTCAATATCGTGGCATTGTTTTCAAAAATGGGATTTTTCTGTACATGGATTCGCTTCATAATAAGATAAAGCAGACTAGAAGCAATACATTTTGTATTGCTTTCTAACTTTTTCTTGTGCACATGCACATGCATGTTTCCATTGGCAAAATGCATGTATTGGATGATTGACATCTTTTATCAAATTGTTCCTATTAAAAGTATCCAGAATAGTTTCATAAACTTTAATTAGAATCAAGTGTTTTACAAAGTACAACATAAACTGTTCTTAGCAAAAACATTTGCCTGCTAGAATTCCCCATAAATTTGATCTCAGTGTTTGAAATTCAATTTCAAGTGAACATGAAAGATAGTTTGGTCACTTTCCCAATCAAATGAAATGTAGATCAATTAGTGATTCGTTAATTATGACCGCTTTATCGATCAGGTCCATTCTAACATAACGTTTGCAATTTTTCATTAATAATTCCATACAATTTAAGTATATTGACTGAAGGATTTTCAGTTTTTTAATTTACTTGACAGGATTTTGAAGAATTTCAATTAATAGTAGATGAGGTTGGCAGCAAATGGAAATGCGTTAATCAACTTTAAAACTGCATTAGCTGCATTAAGAATATATATATATATATATATATGTATACATACATAAGAGCTGCGGTACATTGCTGAGGCTATGCAAATGACAAAATTAGCACAATCTTGCGATGGACACAGGAAGAACAAGAACCGTTTGTATATCAAAATTTTCGGATTAAAATATAAAAAGTTAAACAAAAGTTAACTGAAATGAATACTCTACCACCCGTATTAAATATTTATTTGTTATTTGTGACCGTTAAGAAAGATAGTGAATATTATTATAAGGTCTCACACACACACTTTTTCTGCCGTTCGTTTTATAATCGAACGATTGAATTTGAAGTCCATACCGATAATTGTGAATAGTTAGTTATTCTCAGTAGAAAAAAAGTGAAAGTCGAGTAAGGAAAACACAGAACCTTAAGAAACGGTATTTTGCAACATATATAACAAAATTTTGTTATCGTTATTATTATTCTTTCTTATGTTTTATGTTTGATAAAACTTCCATTGTGAATATGCAACCAAAAATGTTGGTTTCTGCTCTAATTAACTAAAAAAAAAAAAAAGATTTTTTAAAAAATATTGCTTAATACTAATCGGATGGTTTAACCAGTGGTTTAACCTGACCCATCACTTTGCCCTCAAATAGCGGGAGGATGTCAGAGTCATTAACAATTTCCTCATAAATCACTGGACTCTCAGGATCTTCACAACGCGTTCTAAAAAAAAATCTGAAAATTTCAAAATATTATTTCATTTTCAACGTTGCACTAATAACGCATGAACGTACGGGAAAGACATGCATCGCTTGATTACTAACCTAAAATTACCCTTTTTGGGTAAATAATCCTTGAATTGTTTCAATGTTGGTTGTGTAACAGGTATTTTACTTCTGTATGGATATTCTTCGTCGCAGAAAGAAAATACCACCGTCGTTGTTTCTTGGGGCCTTAAGGGTAAAGGAGGTGGAGCCCCAGAATGGTGCAAACTACTGCTGCCGCTGCTACTGTTACTGAAAGAGGCCGGTTGCTGTGATTGAGTATAACGATGAGATCGTTTGATCTCTTCCAGTCTTCTTTTAGTCTCTTCCTGTTTTGAAGCTGTGCTACTTGAGTCAGATCGTGAACTGTAACTGTTTGCAATGAGAATTTTTCAAAATAAAATTTTTCAAAAAAGTGAGCAAACCTGTTATCTTTGTACTTCATTAGAGTATCTGCTAAGCTTATGCCGCTGTCTGTATTCATGGAAGGCCATTTACTTGTAAGCTTCCTTGAGGAGGAACTGTGATCTGGCATTGACTTTGAGTGTTTTATACCGCCTGAAACAGTAATAAATTCGATTAAGCTCTGCCGATAATAAAATTACATATGGACGTTAGATTCGTATTATTGCTTGTATTTGTTATAAACTTTTTACTAATTTTCGCTCCAGCACCGAAGAATAAAAAATATTACAAACGAATGCCTTCGTTTTTACTGTACAGAGATAAGTCAGTACATAGTGTTTATTAATTTTTATATACGTTTGGATTGCCTTAGAAAAACCTAATGGTGATGGTTCATTTGTCCGTTTGTAGCTTGTCCACGTCGACAATAGGCTAGATTAAAATCCATAGCAGATGTTGCGGTTGTATATATTTGTATGAGAATTGTCGCAAAAATATTTCGCATTGTCATTTAAAACATATAAATAGCTAATGAACATACCCACTATATGAAAACAGATTTTACAACATTGGCGTCAAAGTTTGCATGTCACATCTTTACATGCCTTAGGTATGCTGGTGTTTAGATCACAACTTACTTATACTAGTGGCACCGTCACTCAACATTCCTGAATCATGTGTTATAGTACGCCGTCTAATTGGTAGTGGCGGGCAGGGTGACATTATATCAGGTGAACGATGCGGCGTTTGATCTTTCCACACACGTGACACATGTTGGTCTAATATATCTTGATCATTATCTTCGTCCATGGCAAATTTCTCTCTGATAGCCTGGGCTAAAGCACGATCGCTGGCAAGCCTTTCATTAGTCGGCAGAGTTTCGTCCGATAGGTGCTAAATATTTAGCGAAGAAATAAATATTAAATGTTCTTTTTATATAGAGAGAACCACGCAAGCGACTTACATCTAAACGAGCGCGCTCTTCCATATCCTGTTGACGTTTCACTTCTTCTAATTTAGGGAGCAATTCAGCAAAAAGCTCAGCTCCCGTTAGAGGATGATGTTCATTCGAATGCAGGCGCTGCGTCCGTGGAATGATCTAATAAATATAGAAATTGTTTTATCCTCAATCGTGATTAAAATTTTTCATTCATTTTTACCTGGAAAGAGTTTGTTTCTTTGTTGAACATGGCATTTTCACGAATGGCTTTACTTTCCGTAGAACCATGTCTACGTTGTATGTAAGGCCTGCCGTCCCTGCAATTAAAGATACAACAATTGCTTTAGGAAAACTAGAATAAGGAGAATCATATTCGTAGCGTGAATTATTGTGTGCAAGTATGGCAGTACTTACATCGAACAGCTTGAAAGCGACATTGTATCGGAGTCAGTTCGTCCGCCCGAACTAACGCTTGCTCGTTCCGAATCCACACGTGAATTCGGTACGTAAGACGTATTCGGTTTGCCTGTGTACACATAACCAAGGGCACTACACACACTCACATGCAGATATGGAATATTAAATCCATGCAATTAACATAAATCATCAAAAAAAAAAAATAAAAAAAAAAAATGAAAAATGAAAAGAACACAAAAATCATATCAAATAACAAAATTGAAATTAAATACAAGAGAAAATAAGATAATATTTAAAAGCGAACGCCGATTAATGAACGTGATCGAGAGATTTGTTTCAAATATATTACATGACCAAATATTTATGTATTCAGGCGGAGATTTTTTTATATTTGTGCAGCAAAATGTTTACATTAAAAACGGACATAGAAAAAAATCAGAAATTTATTTGAAAAAGAAGAGAAAAAACCAAACAATGCACATACTTTTACGTAAATAAAAATTATTTAAAAGGATAATAAACACATTATTGCCTAAGCTACGCACTTATCAAATAGGAATGGTCAAAAATAGAGCAAATAGATGGATGCGTATTTTTTAACTACTTTCACAACTAGTTTGTATTATGTAATTTTTGGAAATTCTGACTTTTAATAATAACAGATTTCAATCTAAAGTAAAGTATACCGTTTGCGGCAGTGTATTAAATTTGTGCGGGCGGTTGTGATACTCAGACGGAATTGGGATATATCTATCTCTTACGATACGGCTGGATTCACAAATGCTCTCTAATTTTGCCTCTCTGTCCGACCATGTCTTTATGTGTTCAACCTGAAAAAAATTATCTGCCTCCTCACGGTCTGCCTTAATATTTTTTCAATCCTACTTGAAAATTCATTCGGCCATTATACCAGAATTACCTGTGGATACGTACATAACATTTATTTCATTGCCTGTATGTGAAAAAGAGTTGAAGAACAGATTTTGTCACCCGTCCTATGCAAAAAAATGGCAACCATTTTTATCACATGTCTACAGCCTAGCTACGAAGACGAACATCGCTTAATTAGCGACAATGTATTGAGGTTATATTTTATAATATGATAAATCGCAAAACCATAAATCGTTCATCTAGAAGCTGTTAAAAGAAACATTGAAGCAGCGCGTTTCCAATTTGGTATGAATTAGGAAACCATTTCGTGGGCTCGTTGTGGAATGTTCTGTTCCCATTATAAATGGGATTTTGAAAATAATTTATACATGTGGACATGTCAAGGAACGTGGGCGCTTTCGTTCGCTTTATCGTTGGCGTCGTCATTATAAGTGCCTAAATATAACTCATATCAACGATTTAAAAGTAATTTTTAACGGTATTTAGGGATATCATTCGCTATATTGTTTGCGTCTAATCAGAGTTATTCTTTGTCTGCTTTGTGAGCCTATTTACTATATTTGGTTTACAATAAACGGATATAGTTAGCTAGTTGTTATTCAGAATATTCCAAAAATTAAAAACGTATTTATGCTATAGTGGGGAAATCACGCATGTATCACGAGGTTAAGAGTGAAAAATTTAGTCAAGATGTTTAGTCTCTTCTGCTGGGCAGGATGATACGTTTTGTAAATGACTGTCTTTTGCAATTTATGTGTTAGATTCGCTTACCCAGGGGGGCGAATTTCCAGTCTTCTCGTTTGAGTCGCTAATAAAAGATCACGAGTGAGGCGTATTGGCAACTCAGTTGACCCTCGACCGGCTTCAACGCGCAATTTCTCAAAGTCATCATTTAATGATAATTCAGAATCTTCATGTAGGGTGGGTAAAGTCGAGCTGCGTGGCAATGTGTCTGTAGCACTAACCGATCCACTGGAGCTTGCCGATGTCGAGGGACCGTAAACGCTGCCACTAGCACTGCAGCTACCAATATTAACATTGGTATTCGCAGGGAAATTTACAATTGGACCCATAGCCGGTACGCAAACGTTAATTGTTGATTTATTAGAAATGGTAAGGGGCAAAGCACACGCCCCTGCGTCACCAGCTGCTCCGCTGCCGCCGCTGTTACTGCCACAGCTGGTCCCACTGCCACTGCTGCTACCAGCACTACAGCTTCCAGGTCCGCCACTGCTACTGCATCGCTCGTGGACTACGGACATTTGTCGAATGTACGAAATATACATATCCGATTTTAAAAACGATAAATACAATTCGTTGCGTATAGTGGCCTCAACTTCTTTCTGCATGCTATCAAATATATTTGAACTAAGCGAGACTTCATTCTTTAGGCCCGCTTTAATGGTGTGCCTTAGATCATCGGACACAGATAGTTGACTTTTTTTTAAAAACCTATCGTTAAGAAATTCTCCCTGAAAATGCATTCATTCTTAATTTTTATGAATGTGTGTGTCAATTACCTGTACATGGCTTGAATAATTTGTTTGATTTTTTCGGGATCGGTTTGTTGTTTTAGACCTTCGCAGGCAAAATAAAAATTTAAATGATCATTGTAGGCTGGGTGCTCCTCTTCTACGAATTTCTTGAACAATTCGACGCCATCCCGGTCTTCGAGCAGGTGATTAAATGTGCGGGCCCAATTTAGATAGGATGGTGGGGAATCCCGCATATGTTCTCCCACCCCTTCGGTCATCTGTAAAATCTAACGTTAAGCAGAAATAATCAAATAAATATGCAATGTTTTTTGTGAACCTTTCTAACGCGACTTTCTTCTCCGGGTACTGGTGGTCTTGGCCCACTACACTCATTATCATCATATTTTCGAAATCCCGATGAATGGCTCATGCCACTTTGATGTAACACTTTATACACTCAAAGTGATCTCTGCCGCTGGAACTTATGTTAGTAATTATGATGGCAACGTTTGAATGCTTATATAAAAGACGACTTTCTTTAACAGCTATCTTGAATTCCAGCGTGCGATTCTAGTGACTCACGTATATGTGTATGTATATGTTTTACAATTTGTTTTAATTGCATCGATCTGGCCTACATTTGTACGAGATGTAGGTATGTATACATAATTTATTAAACTAAATTTTAAGTCGCTTGACTTTTGATTTACACACAATTAATTTAATCACTGTTACACCCTTAATATTTAAAATATTAGAGTCATGGAAGATTATCAATACACTCTTATTTTGGAAGGCAGTTAGACAAGGCCTGCAAAGAAACGAATAGAATGCGGGTTAACAGACAAAAACGTATCCTTTGTATGCTGTTATAGATATAATTTCCCTCTTATTCTCTTAACGATTTAATGTATTCTCATGTCATTCTTTCTTTTCTTGTATTTTTACTTTTGTTTTAAATTTTTGCTATGCGAAATCTTTATTTTCAGGCATTTAATTGATCGAATAATGATCGAAATTGATCGAAATCCTTTACAAATACGGCCGGCAAAATAACACTATCATCTAAATCGAGAATCTTGTTTGAGACTGAAATCTCCAGAAGGGGTTACAGCAAAACATCTTTGGCAGGCCCGTTTACAAACAATCGGGGTGTGGCTTCCTTCCTGGAATTGATACGAAATACAATGCTTTAAATGCACTTTACTTCCTCCAATTTGTTCACTCTACACTTCACAGCTATCTTCACTAAGGGTATTGAGAACGTATCCCTAATATATCGTACGAGACATACGCTAAATAAATGATAGCACTTTCTCGCCAAGCTATTAAAAGCAGTTTTAATAAATTTCTGAATTAAAGTCTGTTTTTATTCGCAATGTGAGTTGCGTTCTGCTCGATATGCGGAACTATCGACTGAGGCAGCGAAAACTATAATAACTGAGACGACAGTTTAGACAGAACTTGATACAGTTACAACTAAAATAAAGAATCTCATGATACTTCCATAAACTATATCACTACAAAAAATCTCATTGTTATCTCATGTTAACATACCTACAAAAGCAGAAATTATCTTGAGTAGTATTTTAAAAGTAAATCAAATTATTAAGTGCCCACATTCCGCTTAAAACTTAATTATTGGCTTTGTAGAGGCTCTATCCTGCCTAATGGTCGAATTAATCTCTGATCCAAGCGAGAAACATGAAGGCACAAGGGATATACGTAATAGCGTGAGAAGTAGAAATAACGTAAACGTTATGAAACCGTCAGGAACGAGCACAATATATTATTTGAGGGAATCTAATGAGTTATTGTCGCTAAAGAGGTTAACAATAAAAAACAGAAGATGATGTAAATAACGAAAAGGAAGTAGCTACATTTTCTCGCATAAAAGGAAGAAATCCAAACATGCTCAAGTTTTCTATTTCTAAAAACTCTAAATCTCTTTACATCTCATTGTTGACAAAGAGCTGGTTCTCGGAGATGTTTCGTAGCTAATGTCAAAGTTGTAAGTGTATTATTAAGAGAATGTAGGGTGCATATCCGATGGACATTTAATTATATTATCATATTATAAGCTAAGCAGATTCCATCGTAATATATAAAAAGAAATATTCCCACTGAAGACACCCGTTTAGCTGTGGATATTTCATCATTGACAACAAATTTGAGATAAACATTCTGTTACTGTTTGCTACAACCTGCTAAAAGCTCTCACGTGCCATTTCCTACAAAGATTTTGCTTTCTTTATGGTTAAAACTACGGCTATTGTGCAAAATTTCTATTTTTGCCTTATGGTCTTACTATTCAACGCTATTCGACACTATTCAAACCCAGTTTCTAAAAACAGAAAATTTGCATACACTACGCGGTAAGCTTATAATAAATTTATCAAAAGTTTGTAATGTATTCGAACTACGGATCACCTCAGGTCTCAAGAAGTTCGCCGAGAAACAGCATCTTGTTGGTCCAGTTTCTTAATATCATCAGATAAATGCGAATAGTATCCCTTTCATTCGGAAAGAATTGCAAAGAAGACGTACGTGAACCTTGTTATTCCCCTTATCACAATCAGTAAGTAGCATGCGGAAGAAGTCCACAAATTCTTCACCAAATTAAAATTTGAATTCATTTATCCGTGGAATGTGGCGAAATGAGATAGAAATTTGAAAATGAACAGAACATTACCATGTTGTATGACCAAAAATGCTTCTATCCTGCTTCTATCCATAACTTCCATTTAACTCTTAACTTCATATGTTTATATGTGCGTGAGTAGCTAGGATTAGGTGATAAGAGAACTTCTCGTATTTTTTCAAATCACCCAAGACCTGTGCTACCTCCCAGTTTATCCATGACGGTTTGTGTTCTTTAAAGTTTTAGCTAATAAATGTTTACATCTCTTTAATTTTTTCCCTTTGCATGCATTTTGTAAACATAATAAAGTTATTGGATACATCTTTATGTGTGAGTTTAAAAAATCTTTACAAGAATAACGAACACGCAGGTGCTGACTAAGTCGCGCGGAAGAAGCATTAGTTTTGCAAATTGAAAACAACTAAGAACATTATAGCCGGGAAAGTTCGCCCATTGGATACTCTATTCCACTTCGCCTTTTTACGTAGTAATACACCAAAAATTTCAGATTATTTGAAGCAAAGATAAACTTCATCAAAATATCTCAAGACCTGGCGGACAACCTTCGATCGATATAGTAAGTAAAAGCGCTTAAGCCCTTCGGGGTGTTACATAAGGCCGCACAAACTTAATACGCCCTGTATTACAAGTGTTATAGGACATAAAATTGCGCTGATGGTGGCGAGGCCTATGCCTTAGCTTCTAAATTGCAGTGTGTGAAGTGCCTACGAGCGAATTATTATTTTAAACCTGTTCAACGCAAATGAGATGATTTCAGTTTTTTATATCAATTTTCTTCGACTTTCCTACTTCTAGATAATGGGATAAATGAAAACATTTCCGTCTTTTAGATGTTTCCAATCAATAATATCAAATCTTTCACTAGTAATTAACTAAAATGCTCTTTTATTTAATGTTTAATAGTCAACTAAAATGAACAAACACACCGTAGTCTACGAAGTATTTGTGAAGGGAAGTCATGTTACGTTTTTTTTCTCTTATTGTTAGTATTGCCTTAAAAAAGTCATCGAGGAAGATGACAGCAAAGAAATCGAACATATTTAAAGAATTTAAATGTTTAGAAAAACTGAGGGTTGAAAGGAAGAGTGATGCGCGGCCATTTTGAAAGCGATTTTGATTGGTGGATGAAATCGACCAATACACTCCTTCAGGACACATAGAACAATATAATGAAGGACAATAATTCAGCCATTATTATGAACAAAATTGAGAAGAAGCAAAAATGAAAAAAATAAAAAAAACAAACAAACAAACAAACACCACAGCATCGACAAACGAACATACAAATAAACATAACATGGTAAGGTACACGCGTACTTACTTATATGAGCACATGCACCATCAGAAGTGAAATTAAGAGCAGCAAAGGAAGCTCCGAATAAGTGTACTTTGTGAAAAACACTAACGTCACACAAAGATTGTAAAATCAAAGCAGCGGCAACAGGGTTTTTTAAAATTATCTTAGTGGCGACGTAAACAATCGCATCAGCAAAAATGTGAAAAATGAACGCGTTCGCCTTACGACGTACTTTGGGCACCCATCGCAATATATTTTATAACTTTTCAGCCGTGCAACTCGAAAATCAATATTAATTAACGAAAAGATGGCACACGAGACGAATTTGCAGAAACCAATGAAATAAATTCTCGACGGAGTATGCAGCCTTTCACGAGCATTTAAAATATATTTCAAAAAGTATAACTCTGACGATTATGCTGCATCCACACGTCCCAATGCCAAGCCTGCTCATAGAGAGTCTGGGCTCGTCATTCCAAATGAACCTTTAGCCCTAAAGCGTTAGGGCTGAAAATGTTCAGAAACAGCATGGAATAGTGAAGTAAATGGTAAAGCTTAAGAAAAGAATTTCGTGCACATTTTGAACTTACAGCAGAAGCAGAAGCAGATATTGATAAGAAGGTTGATAATAGCAACCTTTCAGTTTCAGTATTTTTATGTATCCTGTTTTTCACTGCGGAGTAGCATAGTATCGAAAAAAGTAGAAAAAAATGTCGTTAGATTAACGTTGGACATTGCGTACACACAACATAGGAGTAAATGTTAACTTGCGACTATTGCCCATATTTTCCTTATAAGGCACCATTCGCAGGCGGAAAAGTCTTCAAATTAAAACGCCATCGAAACGCGTTCGTTTTCAAAATATGAAAGGAAAAAACATTTAAGTAGACTATGATTGAAACATTTGCAGAGGAGATTGCACGAAATTAATGAATCGGCCAATAACTCTGGGGACTAAACAAGTAAAACTTTTTTTTTAAATTCAAGTTTCAATTCATTGCAATTTCACTATCAACTTTTGACAAGGCCTCTTTGTTCCACTGTAGGTAAACGTGGCGGCGCTGATTTGCAGAACAACTTTCTCATGCGCACATTTTCGTGCAAAATAGTGAATACTTCGCATTTTGACATCTTCAGATTTCCTTTCCTCGATTATTCAAAATAATTTTTAGGCATTTTGTGATCTTTTCTGGTGTAACCATTTTTCCCTCCATCCGTCCACTGCACTAAGCATAATCGGGGTCTGTACGACCTCACATAGAAACATCAAAAAAAGGACCGACATATTGTTGTTTTCGATAGGAAAAAGTGTCCATAACAAAATCAAGCCAATGCTGTACTTAAATAGTATTTTATCCCGCGCAAAAGTAGTATTTAATCTACCCAAGCAATTCGGATTTCTCCCAAAAAGTGTCACTAAAAACGTTGTAATTTGTGAACAAATAATCGATCTTCGCTTTAGTATCGGGAACTATTGGCCAAATAATTACATTATTATTATTACTATACTAACCATCGAAGAGTGATGATGTACTCGTTTTGTGCGCTTTGCTTGCAATACGCAAAAGGAAGTCCTACGAAGTGTAAGTAGTAAGGATCGATTTAAGTCTATTCGCCTGTGTAATGAAGATAAAGATATCGATTTTGAATTTGTTATAAGTAAGTTTTTGATTGCGGCTTAGTATTGAAAATGGTCCAAATCGGCGAAAGGACACGCCTACCGTGTAACAAAGCTGAGAATAATTTTGCTGTCTGGGTTTTTACATTAGCAGCTCATAATATATAATAAAAATTGCAAATAAACAGTCACGCCCACACACAAAATTCTAGGCTATTGAAATTTAATTGTTTT